ACCCCCAGTGATACAGCCTGTTCGGAGGGAGCAGGATGGGGCCTAGGATGTGGGACGTTCCTGGAGCCTGGAGCCAAGCTGGCCCCTGAACGCACCCTTTGCCTCCTCTGCCCTCCCCCTGTCCTCTCTGCAGCAGCAGCAGATAAATTTGATAGGCATAATGATTTACTTACTTTAACTCTGTCTGGAGTTGGGGGTTTGGCTGCCAACAGTGTTGAGGGGTTTGCAGGGCTCTCTTTACCCAGCAAAGCTGGAGGGGCTCTGCAGTAATCGGGGACTGACCCCCAGAGCCGAGAACCTGCAAGACATGCGTAGACCCAGAGGACTCGAGGCCTGTGACACTCTCTGCAGGCCCCAGATCTCACTTCTTAATTAGAAAACATAAGACATTGACAGTATCTCTCATCCATAAGAAGTATTTTAAATAACTAAACCTCAGGATAAAATTACTTTTCACCTTATTAAAATATTAAAATTGTTCATCTAGCCACCTACTTTTAAAAGATTATATGAGAGGCTGGTGAGATAGTTCAGCTGATAGGGCACTTGCCTTGCACACAGCCAACCCGGATTCAATTTTCAGCACCCTAGATGGTCCCACAAACCCCACTAGGAGTGATCCCTGAGGTCAGAGCCAGGAATAAGCCCTGAGCATCACCAGGTGTGCCCCATCTCCCCACCTCGACCCCAAGAAAAAGTTAAGAAGTAAAATTCTATGTGATCTGTACTTGGTAGTAATCCTAGAACTCCAATAATATACAAGTTGTCTTTGTTCTGTCACCATTGTTTGCTTAGTCTCTATTTAAAGCTGACAGTTGTTTAAAGAAGGCATTGCAATAGGATCATCACTTCCTAACAGACTAGAAATGGAACTCACTAGGAGTTTAATGGGAAGAGAAATGATGTTTTTCTTTAAATAAAATTTAAAATTTTTTAAAAAAATTTTTGAGGTGGGGAAGCCACACCTGGTAGTGCTCAGGGATTACTCCTGGTTTTGCACTCAGGAATCACTCCTGGAGATGCTTGGTGGCACCATATGCAGTGCTGGGGATTGAACCCAGGTCGGTCATGCAGGGCAAGCATCCTACCTGCAGTACTATCCAGTCCAAGAAATATTGTTTCTTTAAAAAATTATTTATGATAAAATTATTATTGTAGTAATGCCTAACCCTATGTGATTTATAGCACAACCTAAAGAACTGCTTTAATTTTCTGAATAGAAATTATTATGATTACAAAACTGACAATAATATAATAATAACTAATGTTATTAAATTCTTACTAAATTTAAAGGACAATTTTGTGTTATGTGCAAAGATACAGGGTAAGATATAGGGAGGTGGAGTACCTTGCCCAAGGCCATGCATTTTTTCAGGAATGACTCAAAAGTAACTTCCAGTGAATCCAGAAGTAGTCACTGAATATGAGTAAGAGAGAAATGCCACTATGGGAAATGGAGGGGAATAAAAGCTTTGTTGCATAGAAAACAGATGGAAGGAATTCTGACATCTGTGATAGACATCTTAAGATAGCAGCAGTGAGTTGCTCAGCTTTGCTGGGTCTATGTCAAGCATCCAGTAAATACGCATGCTACTAATAACCTTCCTGACAAAAAGAAAAAGGCAACAGTGATCCCTGCAAGAGCCAGAGCTTCTGTCAAACCATTGAGGGCAATGAGTGTTCCGTTCAAAGCCTTTTCACTCGTCTTGCCATCTGCAAGGAGGTTTGCTAAAATGCAAATGACTGAGCCCCCAAAAGCAGGCCTGGATGAGAAATAAATTTTAAGAAAAACCAACTCATTAATGTAAATTTTACCTGACCCACTTCTCTTGAATAAGTTTGTTTATTCCTTTGTCTTTAGGATATCGAGGTCTCTGACTCTCTCAGTGAAAAGGGGTATTTTACCTTTACAAGTATCCTAAAAGAATATAAAAAATTTCCTTAAAACGAGGTATAAAATACAAACACTACGTGGCTTGAATAAAAATTAAAGAGTGTGAACATAAAGGGCCAGGGAGATTCCAGGGGTTACGTCCCTTGCCTTCCACATGGCCAGTCCCAGTTCAGTCCTTGGCACTGCATGTGTATGTTCTCTACACACCTCCAGGGGTCACTCCTGAGCACAGAGCCAGTAGTAAGCCCTGAGCTCTGCCAGATGTGGTTCCCAAAGCACACACACACACACACACACACACACACACACACACACGTGAGTATACAAATACCTCCTACTGCATGCTCTCATCCACTGTTGGCAGTGCTTCTCCACTGAAGACAGTATGAGACATCTATCAGAATTGTTTTCCTTTTTATCTGTTTTTTTCTTTTTTAGATGAGTTTAGTTTTTATTCCTTTCAATGTTATTCTGCCTTTAAAAAAATTCTAATTGAGATCATATGGTACCAGTTGTATTTATGTTTCTAGTGAATATAGTGACCACCCCTCCACTACAACCAAAATGCCCAATACCCTCCACTACCAACCTGGTGGCACCTCCAGTTTCCCTCTTCCTCTTTATCCCACCCCAGTTGGCAGCCTCAGTTCTGTATTCAAAGTCAAAACGATTATTGTCATTAGATCCTGTCTTTTTGCTTTATTTCTGTCTATATCACATATAAGTGAGACCATTCTGTATTTGTTGTTTTTCCATTTATTTTACTTAGTACTATTGCCGCTAACTCCAACCAAGGTGTAGCAGAAGACAAGCTTTCATTTTTTTCTTACAGCTCAGTAGTATTCACTTGTTTATCTGTACCACAGCTGTTTTATTCTTTCACTGGATACTTGTGTTATTTATAGAACTTGTCTGTTGTAAAGCCCTACTGTGAGCATGAATGGGCTTATACCTCTTCTTTTCAAGTTAATATTTTTGTGTTTTTGAGTAGAATTTTAATATATATTCCCTTTGGGTAATCCTTTGTATAGCTTACATACCTGCAGATATTTATGATAATAAAACTCTGGATTTGTAAAATACGGTTTGAATAATCTAGCAAGTAAATGGTTATATAAAATAAGGTGTGAAAACAATGAACTATCATATAGCCATTAAATATTGTTAGATTCATGTTTCATTTGTTGTAATAGAAAGATATCTTAAGATACTTCTAGTGAATTTAGATTTCCCTTTCAAACTTAGGTCCTAATTCTCAGTCTTACTAAATTGTATATTTAAAATGTATTAGCATAGAATTATACATACTATTAATCTTTTAAACATATACCTTTAAGAAGAAAAATGATAAACAGTTTTTGGAAAAAAGTGAACATTTCTATCAACTTATTAATATACAATTTTGTGGAATTTCAGAAGTTTAGCTTTATTCATCTAAATGTTCACAACATCTAAATTCACAACAAAGTTTTTAAAAAATATCCCAAAAATAAATTTTTTAAATAATAAAAAAAAAATGATGGGCTGGAGTGATAGCACAGCAGATAGGGCATTTGCCTTGCCCGCGGCTGACCCGGGTTCAGTTCCTCCGCCCCTCTTCAGAGAGCTCAGCAAGCTACCGAGAGTATCTCGCCCGCACGGAAAAGCCTGGCAAGCCACCTGTGACATATTCGATATGCCAAAAACAGTAACAAGTCTCACAATTTGAGCAAATCGATGAACGACAGGAGGACAGTGCTACAGTGCTAAAAAAAAAATGATCTCTCACATGTGGGATAGTAAGAAACATAGTAAGGGAGCAAATGGTGAATGTCAGCAGAACTGAACTGAAGATTCTGTCTCTAGAGCTGAGCTTACACTGTAGGGGATGGCACCGGGGACAGTGGTGGGTGTGGTGTTGCAGTAATGTTTGTATGAAAAGAATAATTAACAGTATTGTAAGTCCTAGTACCTCAATAAAAATGATCAAAAACTAATTAAATAGTATAAAAAAGGTGACATTTAATATATTAATATAAAAACATACAATATAAAAACACAGAATAATAATAATGCTAGAGTCTGCATGTTCATTCCTTTATTCAAAAGTGGAGTGAAAGGTAAGAGAGTTCTAAGGATAGAGAAGAACCTTCATCTCACTTTTTAATATTTAGCACCAATTAAACTTTGACAGATCTGTCCCTATCTCTCCATCTTTCTAAATATATTAAGATGCGTCTCATAATGTATACCGGTAAAAAATTTCCATGTTGAAAAATAAAAAAGCACTATGTACATGTATGTGCATGATCAATAAATAGTAAGTGCATCTTAAGAAAGTTTCAGAATTTGATCGGAGAGACAGCATGGCCAGTAAGGCATGGTCTACTCCAAGAGTGACCCCTGAGCTTAGAGTAAGCCATGAGCACCACTGGGTGTGGTCCAAAGACACAAAAGTACTAGAATTGATGGAATTAAATTAGTTACTTTTAATATGCAGTCTCATTAAAAAAACTAGAAGTGCAGTATTTATTGGACACATCATATGTGCCATTTCTTAATATTTTTGGCAGGGGGTGTTGGCAGTACTCAGTGGTACTTGGTGAGGTGGAGTGTATTACTCCGCAGGTGGTACAGAGGGTCAAACCCAACCCTCTCTCAGGTGAAACATGCCCTCAGCCCATTGAGCTATCATTCTGTCCCTTAAAGTAAATTTCTAAAGAAATGTTAAGTGTAAGTTAAGATTGTATCACATTTTTTAAAAAGAGACGCAGATGATGCTATTGGTTTAGAGTGCATCATGTTGAGAGCCGTCTGGAGAGCAGAGCATGTGATGTGCCAGTAGTAAACAGGGGAACCCTAGGGGTTCCTAGACAGAACTCAGTGCGTCTTCCTCAACGTGATTGTGTCATGGTAAATTATGCTAAAAATTAACAGTTGTTGTTTTTTGGTTTTTGTTGTTGTTTTTTTTTTCCATGAAAGTGTGAGGGAAGCAAAGGTGGCCAGGCCTAGTGAATACAATCCCCAAATTCCCATGTTTGCCAAATTCCCATGTTTGCCAATGCAAGCTTTTCAAACCCTCTTGTGTTTGACTTCTCTCTCTCTCTCTCTCTCTCTCTCTCTGAAGCCGCAAGAGAAATCGTCTGGTTGGAAAGAGAGGAGCGAGCCAGGCAGCACTATGAGAAGCACCTGGAGGAGCGGAGGAAGAAGTTAGAAGAGCAGAGGCTGAAGGAGGAGCGGAGGAGGGCAGCTGTGGAGGAGAAGAGAAGGCAGAGACTCGAGGAGGACAAAGTAAGCCCACCCAGTGCTAGGAAATAGCTGGTTCGTCTGTCTCAGGAATGCTGCGGGTTGGCTTAGAAACGTTCCATGGAGCTGCCGGGTCACATAGCAACCAACATACATTCTATTTCTAGGGAGAGCTGGGTGTAGACGCTAAGATGGCTAGGATTGCCAGAGAGTAAAAGCCCATGTCACTGATTGACCCCTATCTCTTAGTTTGTTTCAGTCCTACTCAACTACTGTGACCACCCCAAAAAACTTTTCTGTAAAGCTTTGTCATTTATAAATATTTATTTAACCCCTGTTCGTCCTTTGGATAGGTGATACATAGCAGTGATTTTGTTTGTTTTTCTGGCTTCTTTGGTCCCAAGGTTGACTGATTTTGACTAGCAAGGGTGACTTAGCAAAATCAATACCATGAGCCTCTATGTTCATTCCCTAACACTGATGCTCAGTGCACTCAGGAATTACTCCTGACGGTGCTCAGGGCACCATATGGGATGCAAGGGATTGAACCCGGGTCTATGCATGCAAGGAAAATGTCCTGCCTGCTGTACTATCACTCCAGCCCCACTATATAGCAGTTTTTGGGAAAAAAAACTAATAATAATAATGGAAATTTCTTCTCAAAATGATGAAGCTACAAGATCCTACAACTCAGTAAATTGTAGGTTTAGGATAGTACACAGCATCAGGTTCTAAATTGTTTTGTTTTGTCTTGGTTTGGGGGCCATACCCTCTAGTGCTCAGGGACCTTCTCCCACCTCAGTGCTCCTCAGGAAGTAGAGATGGTACCCTGGCCTCCTGCATACAAAGCATGTGTTCCAGCCCTGGATCATATGTGTAGGAGCTGTCTCTCCCACCCCCACGTTCCATGTTTTAAAATATGGTACCACCTGTGTTTACAAACTACTTAACCAAGAACATGTGCTTTGTATTAAGTGCATTGATAACCTTAGTGATAGTAATAAGAGTTTTTTTATGTGCCCATTGTCTACGTAGTCTTTATCAGCTGGAATATAACAATTTCAGTAACCTCCCAGCTTGACTATGGTTTTTACCTTAAATAAACTTTGGATATATGGAAAGCGAGTAGGAAAACTAAAGTCAAAGTTTAAGTTCCATTTCTCATGCTACTCTGCCTTAAACTGAAGAGGCCCCATCAATCAGCTTGACTCTAATCCTCAGCAACTTTGTTGGGTTTAAGGAACGCCATGAAGCTGTTGTTCGACGGACGATGGAAAGGAGCCAGAAGCCAAAACAGAAGCAAAACCGGTGGTCCTGGGGAGGCACTCTCCATGGGAGCCCCAGAATCCACAGTGCAGGTAAGCACAGGGACCACTCCAAAATCGCTTTTTTCCTAGATAGTTAAAGTGCTGTTCCTTCTTTCTTTCAAAATCTCTGTATTTGCAAACAACCATCCTCCTGAAACGATTATAACTCTAATTACGTGATACTTCCACTGTTTGAGGATGGGAGGGTCATAGAGGTAAGAAGATAAGGTTTTCTCCCTTAACACGAGCTTTCCTCATTGTTAGATTCCTGTAAAGACAGAGAATTCTATGCTGTATTTCTGAACAAACATTCTGGCCTTGACTCAACGTTATCTTGTGGGGCTCATTTTCATAAGTCTCAGGATTATGGAATAGGTTAACTAGTTGTCTTTTTTTTTCTCCTTGGGAAGAACCTTAGCAAGGTTGACTGTTCAAAATCAATACCAAGTGCCTCTATGTTCATACCCTAGCACGTGTGCCACCCTCATGCCCTGCTAGAGGAAGTACATGTTAAATCATAACAACTGTCAGAGCTACTTCATCTCCTTGAAGTGACCAAAAGCTATAGGGAAATTTGGACTTTAGAGAAAGGTTTTATTTTTGTACTGTAAATTCAATGCACTTTGATTTGTATATGATGTGTCCATTGTTTTTTTTTTCTTCTGTGTGAGTCAGATAACCTTCTATTTTTAATTTACTTTGAAAAATCATTGTCTTACATTCTGTCCCCAGGTGGTTTTGTTGAATCATCATTCTCCTCTCTCGATTTAGCAGGCCTGGACCACCACTTCACCACTCTGGGTGGTACTAGAAAATCTGGTACAGACTCCCTGTGGTTGTTGATTGCTGATCTGTATAGCTAGCCCCTCGGACCTAGGGCCAGCTCATCAGTAGCTGAACCATCACCACCTTAGTCATAACGCATGCTTAATATCCTATTGCGTAGATCTAGATCTGGAATGTGACACAGTGTTTCTAAAGTGTGATGACCAAATAACTCAGGTGACTTAACGGTGTTAAAATAATAGTCACATCTGGTATGTTTGCTTTCTATTTAAATTAGTATGTTGTACAACCCTGCCCCCTCCAAATTTTAGCTCATTACCTGGGACCAACATTCAGTTTGGCATGCCACGCACTCTCCTACACTTAAGCACATGCATGCGGCTATGTGCACACATGCGCGCGCGCACACACACACACACACACACACACACACACACCCCTTCTCCTTTATACACAGCCTTCCACTATTGCTATTTTTTACATTTTTAATCTAAATATCTCTAGATTGTTGTTGTTTGCTCTTCTCTATTTTACTCCTAACATTCATTATGTCTTCTGTAATCCCTTTATTTAAAAAAAAAAAGTCTAAAAGCATATTACCATAATTTACTTTCCTATGAAAGTGAACCAAATTTAAAAGAAAAAAATCTTAACTGTTCATAACTCAAAATATCCAGTGGTATTTGGTGGAGCACATATCAAGTCCTTGATCATAGGTTCATTTACATGTGCTAATTCATTCTAGGATATTTTTTTACTACCTATTTTTCTTTGACTTGTCTTCATGTATATCACAGAAGCATACCTTATTTCTTTTTTTACATGTGTATCACAGAAGCATACCTTATTTCTTTTCTAACCTTGTTAAGGAGAAATAAAGTTGCTTTGCTCTACTTTTTGTTTTCACCCTGAGTTTATTTTTATTTATTTTCAGATTGAAACCAGGGCTTCACACATGCAGGGCAGGCGCTGTACCCCCGAGCCACCTTCCCCCACACTCAGAGTTTAATATCCGACTTTTATTACAGAATAAGAAACACGAGTATTGTGTTTGTAAATTGGATAAAACCTATGTTTACAAGAGTTGTAAGTACATAAACTCACTAGTGGTGAAGATGAGACTGTATGAGACAGAGAAACTTGAAAGTAATTACAATTTGCCACAATTCTCAAAGGTCAGGATGATCTGCTAGAAACATCTGTCAGATCTTATGTTTTTTATAATACTTCTTAACTCCCCCAAAACCTAGCTCGTGGTGTACAGTTTGTGTTTTCTGTTCAACAGACATCCTGCAAATAAAATTTAATCCAAATTGAGTTGGTATCTTGTTTGATAACCAAGTTAACACAAACAGCACTGCTGTGTAATGCATTACACTTTTCACACTAATTGCTCACAGATCCTTTTGTGATTTTGTGTCTTGTTCAGTGAGGGGGAAAAATGGATGTACGTATTAAGAAATACAATAAATGCAAGTTATGCCTCCATAAGTTTAGCCATAAGAGATAGAACTACTTGTAAGTTGTTTCCCTCAACTAAAGCAATATCAGAAAACAATACGTTAGAATTACTTAGAAATGACTTTTTATTATCCATTCTTGGAGCCCGGACTCTCCCATTACATCATCAAGACATGATCTATGGTTTGGGGCTTTTGTTTTATTTTGTTAATTTGGGGGCCACACTCACAAGTGTTTGGAGTCTACTCCTAGCTCTGTGCTGGGAAGATCATGGGTTTTATAGGGTTGAACCCAGCCTTCCCACATAAAAGCACGTGCTCAGCTCATTGAGCTCTCTCTGACCTTACCCTTGGCCTTTGTCAACATTTCCCACAGAGCCCTTTAGTTAAGTGTAATGTGAAGCACAAACATTGTGGTCGTTTAAAAAAAGAAAGAAAAGAAAGAAAAAGATTAGATGGTTTGAACCATACAAGTGAATTGTCATAAAAGATAGAAATATGTGGTATTGTCAGAAAAATATGTTCATGCCCTGCTCACTGTAAATTGGCTAGAATTGGTTATACTCTAGGGGAGAATTTACTATAAATGGCTTGCTTCCAAGGCAAGTTAAACCAATGCAGCTAGGTTCTGAGTCCTTCTACCATAAAGAATGTTTTTATTTTTAGTTACAGAAATCAACACTAGAGAATAAAACTATGACAGAGCCTTTCTCACTTTGTCTGGCATAATTTCAAACATCTATTTGCCTTCTAGATAAAAATATTTAATTATTCTAAAATCATTCGACTGCAGGATGAGCTATAGTTTTTTTTCTCATTGTATATTTTATTTACATTTATTTTTATGTTCATAAAATTAAAGAGGAAAAGAGGCCTGTGAGATGCCTTAACTAATAGAATATACGCCTAATACAACTAAGGTACTGAGTTCTGTCCCCCACATCACTGCCTCACCTGCCAGAGCACTGAGCTACAGACCCACACCTGACTGAGCAGCACCAGGAGTGGTCCCAGGCCTCTACCAGAGCTGTTCTGGAAATCGCCCTATAAAAAGTTTTTAGGGCCAAAGCAATAGTACAGCGGGCGGGTTGGCATTTACTTGCACTCAGCTGACCCAGGTTCAATCCCTGGCATCCGTTATGATCCCCAAGTCCCCAAGCACCACCACGAGTAATTCCTGAGTGCAGAGCCAAGAGTAACCCCTGAGCATCATCATGTGTGGCTCAAAATCAATAAAAACATTAAAGAGGGCCAGAGTGACAGTAGAGTAGGTAGCATGTTTGCCTGGCACATGATCAGTCCCCGTTCATCTCTAGAACCCCATACAATCCCTAGAACCCAGCAGAAATGATCCCTGAGTGCAAAGCCAGGTATAAGCTCTTAGCACCACCGGGTGTGGCCAAAAACAAAATGAAACAAAACAGAATTTTAAAAAGAAATAATTCTGACTATATTGCTATCACTGGCAATTTTGTGGGGCAGCTTTTTGATCGAAGTCTACATTTGTAAACTACAGTTTACTATGTTTTAGGCAGGGTGCTGTCCCCCAGTGGTGCTCTGGGGACTGTGGAGTGCTAGGGATAGAACCCAGTTCTTCTTCATGTCAAACACTCATACTGACCCTTTGAACTATCTCTCTGACCCCTCTAACGAACTTTAAATGTCTTGGTGAAATAATTCTGCATGTAAAAGTACAGCAAATGATGGAACCTGTTTTGGGGGCTTTTTATTCTAGTTTTTGCATTATGTTTTTTCTTGCTATCCCTTTGTTCCTATTCTTAGAAATGATGAAAAGCAATCAAATCTACGGCCCTCTCTGTGCTTCGAATCTGCTTCCATTATTTCAGTATCCCTTCCCTGGCCTATCTTTGGCCTTCCATTTATTTGACGTATTATTACAACACATTTAAATTTCCTTGGCAAATTGGCAAACTGAATGTTTAGTTTTATTTTTAAAAAGGTGAATTTTATTTTTAGCCTTTAAGTTACCGTTAAATTTCCACTTAGAAAACTGTGCTATTACAAAAAGATCTAGTCATAGAGCTAAATGCATTGAATCCTAGTTTTTCCTTTCATCATTGAACTAGGAAATTGCAATCCTGCATGCTGGCTGTCAATTAGCATTATCTCCATTTGTTTTAGATCCAGACAGGCGGTCAGTTTCCACCATGAATCTCTCGAAACATGTTGATCCTGTCATTAGCAAGCGGCTCTCCTCTTCATCTGCAACTTTACTAAATTCTCCTGATAGAGGTACAGTCAAAAGGAAAACAAAAATGTATCCTGTTATTTGCCTAATGCTTTTTTTTCTGAATGTTTACAGATAAAAATAAGCATCTGAAGTTGCTTTCCCTGCATTTCTTAAATAGGAAGAAAAAAACTTCAGAGTAAAAAAGCAATAAACGGCTGAGCAGCATTTCCTTGCGACGAGAACGTTTCTCATTTTAGAACTTGGCTGAGTGATTGCGTTTAGCAGTGATGAAAGCGGTGCTTCTCTCAACTTTTTAGTAAATGAGTTTACAGCTCCAGAAATCACTTACTCACCCACCAACACGCAAACAATCTTTGCTACGAACTTGTACTTAAGTTATACTGTCATTGACATTCCATCTGTACTCTGGGAATTCTAGACTTTGACTTCCTAAAACAACTTTTTAAGTGATTCTTGTTGGTAGATTTCATTTTGATAATTTATTTCTCATTTAGCCAAACTTTTCTTGCTGCATTTCTTATGTGTGATTGGTTTATTTGGTAATCATTAATTCGCTTTTAAGGGATTTGGCCTAACTTTGAATGTATCATCATCCATTTCAGGCCACCTAAGTTTAGTGATCATGGTCCTTCAATTAACATCTTATTTGCATTATTTAAGTCACTTTTTTTATCCATGGATTTACAGTACATGAATGTTAAGTTATTTATAAAATGAAAGTTTCATGTATTTGTATTTCTTAGAAGGAAAAAATGAATTTTTCAAGATAAGATAGTTGTTTTACATAACTACAGTGATTTTTAATTAAAAAAAAAAAACAAAGAATTTTTGTGCAGTCTAAGAGCACAGACTCTTGGACTGGGGATGTGGCTCAGTACTAGAGCATGTGCTTCATGAGTTTAAAGTCCCGGTTCCATCCCCAGAACCAACAAAACCAGACAAACAAAAAGAATATTTATATGTGTATATATACATATGTATACATACATATAAGTATATACTTTAAAAGTAACAAATTGTAAACTTGTAAACATCTTCAGAACTTTATTAAGAAACTTGGGAAAGTTCCATTTCTATAGTCTTTAAAAGAATGTAAGGTGTGCATGCTCTGTATGTGTGTATATTTATATATTTTATATTATGTAAAAGTTGTAATACCGTTGGAATATGTAATATTATATGTGTTGATGTTCTTTTGTAACTACTCTCTTAAAGTAGTAATTTTGGAATTTCTCACTCTTTCCTTTTAACCTAAATTATATTCCTTCCTTTTATTCTTTCCTTTTCTAATCTGATTTTTCTATCATCCTTACTAGATTTGTAGTCAAATTAGGAGCACTTTATATGTGAGAAAAATACTGTTAGGAATTAAAATTCCATAAATAGACTTTTTAGCCCTCTTCCAAATATAATGTAAAATACAGCATAACAATGCTGGTCTTATGGTTGTCTCTTCTTTCATTGTTTGAAATTGGTCACTTTATTTTTATACTTTCATAACCTGTGTCCAAGGCAATTGGAACCTTAAAGTATTTTTAAGTAAATCTTGCTCAGTGCCTCCTATAGGTTCACTGCTAAAGTTGGTGTAATATTAGAAATGTGGAGATGGACAAGGAGTCAGACAGTGTCCTATCCACTCATGTGCCAATGCTGAATTATCTTTATCAGCCAGAAATAACATATTGTATGAACAGCGTGTACTAGCAGATAGAATGTTTTTAATAGGATCTTAGAATGGGGAAGACTTGTTGAATGGTTTGTTTACTCTGGTTAGGGTAATAGAGTCCCTAAGAGATCCAGGACCTGACTTAATTTCATCTGAGACAGTTGGAGAATGACTAGTGTTGCTGTCCTGCATTTCAGTCCTGGCCTGTATGGAGTTTTCCTTAGACTCTAATTACATGAGCTCTTTTTTTAGAGATGTTAAGATGAATAACCATAGCATGGAGTAGAATTGGAGGGGCCGGGAAACTCCTCAAATCATGATGTAGGCTTGGAAAACCAAAACACTGCTGGTTTTCCTACCTGTTTTCCTACTCTGATAGAGTAGATAGGAAAGCACTAAATCTGGAAGTCCTGAATGTGAATCCTTATTAAATGAACCATAAACCAGGACTTCATCTAATAGGAAAGATCTACCCAAAATAAATTTGTGGTGCATCCAGGGACTCCATGTTACCCAAGGAACTTTTTCTTAAATAAATAAATAAATAAATAAATAGGCAAAACCCTTAGTAGTACAGTGAGATCCTAGGCTTTTTGGTAAAATAGAAATTCTTCTCAATTTGAATGTTTCTAATTTAGAAAAAGGTAATTACACCTTTATTATCAAACTAGAGAATATTCTTCCTGAATTATTAGAGGTCATACGCAAAATATCTTGAGACTGAAGAGATCATCCAGGGATCAAGGCATCTGCCTTGCATGTTGCCAGCCCCTGTTCAAATCTCCAGCACCACATAGGATTCCCTAAGTACAGACCCAAAAACAGTGCCTGAACCCAACCTGGGGCCACTCCTGAGCTAAGCACAGAGCCAAAAAGAGCCCCTGAGAACTGCTGGTTGTGGCCCACCCACGAGGGAAGAAAGAAGGCAGGAGGGAGAGAGGGAGGGAAGTAAGGACTGACCATTGCTATGTTGCTTATATTTTCTTAGACCTGCAGCACAGACTTTAAAGGTGATAACTAAGATGCTCAGTGCTGGAAAACTCTACTGGTTACTTAAACTAACAAAGTATTTTTATACCGATTACTTTCCCCGGACCCTCCAGAACTCATGAACAAATTCTTTTAGCTCTTCCCCTGTGCCCTACTAGTCTTTAAATAGTTTGATATTTCCAAATGAGTATAATGTCATGTTGATTGATAAAATGACGAGTTGAAGGAAATTGATTTTTAGAGATTTCTGTGATTGACTCAAGAGAGGGACCCTGCACCCTGGAAAGATACTACCAGTTTAACTCACTTTTTTTTTTTACTTTGATTACATTCATTATTTCAACAAAAGATGCACCATTATTGTTTAGAGTTTACACCATTATTGTTTAGAGGTTACACCAATGCTGAAAAGGCATTGTGAAATAATTTGTTTTCTACAGTTAGTTATGAGAACCATATGATGTCGCGTGGCTGCGTGATTTTGGATTTCTGATATTTTACTTATTAAGCCTGGACGTATTTCTGCCAAGAGCCAGATAATTACGAGATTGGTTTCTGTGGCTCTGGAGCCATGGCCATGCCAGAGAGCCACTCGTGGGGGCAACTCGTGACCTCAGTAGGGCATGAAGGACGAGCCGGGAATGTCCCCCTTCCCATGAGGTTTCAGTTGTCACCATTGGCCATACCTGGCTTTCCAAAAAGCTCCAAGGAGGCCGCTACCCAGGGGGGGAAAAGGCGGAAGGGAGCAACACTAACTCACTTATTTCTTTAGAAGAGTAGGGACTTTGAAGAAAAGGAAGAAAGAAGTTTCCTACTCTTTTTTTAAATAGTTCATACTTTTTTTTTTGTACTCTCAATGAAAGGGTGTAGTGATAGACATGACTGAATTCTGCCCACTAGCATGTTCTATTTGACCTTAGCAGGGTGTTTTTGTTCTTATTTAATATGAATTAATTGCCAGCATGTTATCATAAAGAAGGACAGCTTCATATAGCACTAGCTTTCCTGCTCCTAATAAAAAAAAAAAATATATATATATATATATATATATATATATATATATCTGCACCATCTGCCTTTCTACACAGCAGCCCTCATCTGGAACGGAAATCATGGTTCCTACTTCTGGATGTGTGGGACAGTGCAGATATTCAGAATGTCTGTCTGTCCCCATGTTCCCACCTCCAGTTCAGACAGTCTGTTACTGCATTATCTTTTTTAAATTCTTAAATAGGATCAGTACTGAGAGTTGTTTAATGAGACTCTTCAAGAATTTATCATCTTAAAAATCAAACCTCTCTATGTTAAAAAAGAAAAATTTTCCTAAATAGTTATGGTTATGCTTTGGAAGTGATCAGCCTCACTCTTATTAAGGGAGAGTTAGATTATGAGTGTGGTAGAAAAGCATGTTTCTCCTAGCAAAATCCCCAGTGTTGGAATTATAGAATACACCTCTTTGGAATTGCTTTAAACTAAATCATCTTTATTTGAGCACCATTCTTTAGTTGATGCCATTTAGATTCTGTAATTGAGATTCTAAAGGGGAAGGCGGGGAAGATCTGTCCTTGATGGTAAACTAGCTCTAAACCACTCATAGTTTATCCATTAGTAAGCAGGTATCTTTTCTTCCCTTTCTCATCTACTGAACAGTGTTCTCTTGATGTTTTTAACTCACCCCAAAGATTTTAGCCCACTGACTTTCTTCTATGATTGTATCCCAATTTAATGTCACATTATATCTTATTTTTGATGCACATGGACACCAGAACTCAAACATAGGTGCAAACACTGTTCTCCTATTGCTTATGATGGCTTTTACCTACACTGTTGTGTATTCTGCGAAATATAGAACCATTAAAATAGTTTTTAAATCATTTTTACTAATGTCTCCATGGCAGATAAAGATTTAATTTAATCTGGAAGATTTGCATAGCAAATAGAAAATAGAAAATATAATGACCAATTCCACTGATTTGCATAGTAGACTAATTTGCATAATTTTTACATTCAACAGGGTAATGACCAAAAATCTATTCTTTTCAAATAAATTCAAATAAGTAAGGTACTTATTGGAAATTAATGCTTCCCTTTAAAAAGAGGAGCAAATGTTTTCCTAAGAAGATCAACACTGATGACCTATTAACTACAGCTCATTTCCTAGAATTTAAATATGTTCCTTTAAAAATTTGACACTTGAAAAGTGGTCAGAAGAACAACTGCTGTAGAGCAAAGGACTTGTACCAGATGTTTATGGTACAGAACATTAGAACCTGAATTTTAGATAGTTTAAAAGATTGATGAGTGTTTCGGAAGTGTGTTCTAAAAATAGAGATGTATGATGGCTCTACTGTTGTGGTAATATACTTTGGTGGGAGAATTTTGTAAATTCTTTTCCAGATGTTTTTTTGAAAGTAGCTTCTCGGTTTTCATAGGCCCTCAGTGGAAGCCAACAAACAATATGAGCAAATTAATTAATTTATAATTGGCATACGTTTCCTAACAATAATCTTAACCCCCTGTCCTATGGGATCAGTCACAGTCCAGTATAACTTGGGATGACACTTCATTGCAATATTTTATTTTTGCTTTCTCAGTTTCTCATCCACTAGTACTCCATACTATTATGTTTATAGTAAACCTTAGCACCAGAATTTTTTTTATGTCATTGCCAAACAGGGACCTGAAAGAACCTCGCTTGCTGAATGGAAAAGTCAGAAAGAAATCCTCTGCAGAACTTTACATGAATCCTCTTTCATCGTATACTCATTACCCCCACTTACCTAAGTAAAGCAGATGGTGATCTGAAAATATCTAACAATGATCTTGACTCTGTTTATGAGTGAATCCAGTCTTGCCCTAACCTGTCGACGACTCAGGGTACTTAGGAAATGTTTTGACTGAGGCGGGTGCCATCCTGATGAAGGCAGACACATACAGCTGGAGTCAGCAGTCCAGACCAAACCTGTAGTCAAAGTGATATTCCTGTTTTGTTGCCTATGGGTTACTTATTGATGATTGAATGGGGAGTGAGCAAAATCATCTATAAAACAGAACCTGCCCAACACATAACATCCCAAAGAAGGGCTCAGAGACTAGTTGTTCTTTGGGGACAGGTTCCCATGGCTCTGACAGTGCCGCCCGCCCTCCCTGGAATTCCTGGTGTCTCTGGAAGGGCCGCAGGTGGAAGTGATAGTTGTGGGACCCTACGCCCTCTTGCCCCTGGAAAGAATGCTTCTAACATCTCGCTTATGTGGTGACGTTTAGCTCGCCGCCTGCAGCTCAGCCCATGGGAGAGCAGCGTTGTTAACAGACTGCTGACGCCCACACATTCGTTCCTGGCCAGAAGTAAAAGTACAGCTGCCTTGTCTGGAGATTCAGGTAAAATGATCACAGTGCACCTTTTCTGGTGAGGTTAAGTCCTTCTTTCGAAGCCAGTCTGAACAACCAGTATTCCTCAAAGTATCGATCCCCTTTTTACCCACTGCACGCTTCTCTCTGCTCGGGATGGTATGGCTTTGGAAGTATGACTCTTGGTGTTGGTTTCCCAGCCCTGGCATTGTCTCCTCTTAGCATTCATCTTTGCTTCTTATCTGGATGCCAGATACAGACAAAGGCAGACAAGGGCTGCCCTCCTTGTGATCAAATGGCTTCAGACTTCTGTCCTTTCACACCTTATCCAAACAAAACTATCCCTCACCTGATTTTCTGCCCCTGCAGAACTGATCAAAAGAGAAAGAATTCAATATTTAGTACTGGAACATCTACATTTGAAAATAATAACAAAGCAGACAGTTTTCTAATGTGGCTGTGAATTAGCCCTTTATCTTTCCCTCTGCCAGCCTTTAGCATGTAATCTAGGAATGGTCCCTTCCAAAACCCCAAAGAGTCATGGAGAAGACTAATTTTAGAGTTCTTACTTGTTACTGTCTTTGAAAATAATGTAAAACATGCCAACTACTGGTTGTAATTAGTTATAGCTCCTCAACTCTTTTTTCAGTACAAAACATGCCTGAATAAGTCCATTAAGTAAATGGAACTTTGTATAGAGCCTGTCTGCAGCTGGAAAAATAGGAGTTAGGTTTTCAGAAACATCTCTCTCATGGTAGGTTGGTTCTGGCTCTTCTGACATATCTTTGGGCGCAGTTGTTACACCTAAGTAGGTGAGCCCTCGTCCCTGGGTTTAGGAAATTGCATAACCTCTACATAATGTTCCCTTTTAAAGTTCTTGTCTGTGCAAGCCTCTTCCTGTTCATTAGCCCTCTTTTTACAAGTTATCATTCTTCGTGGTTTTATAATGTCTTTTATCTACAGCACCCAGAGTGCTAATGAAGGTCACCTCTGATTCTCACAGTACCCCTGGGAGACAGCAGAGAAAACAAATGAGGGGTATTTCTACTCTCTGCTTATAGAAAACAAGGAGTGGACTTACCCAGAATCCCTTCTAAGTTGTTGGCTGGCTCTTCCTGCAGACCCTGCCACCCTCAGCATCCTGAGAGATATTATGTGCACCCCATTTCAGTCACCGCATTGTCCTGTGCTTCTGTCCACTGTCACATTGCACCTGAAGTCTTCTTGGAGGAAAAAAAGCACAGATCATTGCATGAAATGGTGTTTTTTTTTCTTAATGCCTATGAGTTTTATATTTTTATAAAATTCATGACTATTTTGCTTTGTTCAACAAGTTGAAATACCTGCAAAGCTGCATTTCAGTCCTTCTGTTTCCGAGAATCTAAGTTTAGGGCTCATGCTTCAGTGTTTCCACAAAACTGTTTGCTGTTTCATAGCAAAGCACTGTCTCACAGCTCGAAAAATTGGTTTCTCTGCTCTTTCTGTCATCTCTGAGCTTTGTTGATTCTTTCGCATTTTCTCTAGTCTTTTCCGGCATCATTTCTCGTTTTCTACCCAGTCTATTAATCCATCTTTCCAGTTTCCGTCATCATCGCTCTGCCCAATCAAGGTGCTGTATATCTGCTCATTGCCTGCTCTTTGCTTAGCAATTTTTTCCATTCTTCTCACAAAGTGCTAACTTTGGTGTAACGTATTTTAGTGTGAAACCGTTTAGTGGGTACAACTTCTTGAGTTGTCTTTGTTACTAATACATTTTTCAGTTTATTTTTAACCTGTTGTCACTTTGATATAAGTTGTTTAATGATTGAAACTGTTAATTTTTTCCATCTGTAATTATGTGTGTAAATATCTCATACTTCACTTGTCAAGAACACTTTTTCCATCATTTTTACTTTATTATTTATTCTCCGTGATTATTGTCTCTTGTCTTCCCATTTCATGTTTGCTCTGTGACTTCATCTCTGTTGACAGTTACTGTTGATAAGCCTGTGTCCAGAGCCAGCTTTACAGTAGCAAATTGTATTGTAAATCAGTGTCAGCATGCTCACCCCCAGGGTGCCTGGTGATTGCTAAATTCCCCAGGACAGGAAATACAGCAGTTGAGAATTGGAAACCAGAATCTCTTACCTCTCATTTGTGAGCATTTCTTTGGATTGACTTTTCCATGACCATTTAAAAAATATATTTGTAAAGTTTTGTGATTATTAGAAGTATTAAATGGGATAATACATTAAATACCTAGTTAGAAGAATACCTGCACATAGTAGCCACTCAGCAAATACTAATATCATTTTCTTATGCTGTTTTTCCTATTCTCTGTATTATACTCCAACCATTTGAACTGCTTAACTTTGCACCCATTGTTTCAGATAGTACATATTGAATATTACAATTACACATGCTTACTACCAGGAATCCAAGGAAATAAAAGATTGCATAAGACTTTCTCAAAGATATTTCAATAAAGTAAATCAGTTTAATTAAATTACTTTGAGATGCAGAGAGCACTTTCTGGGGGAAAAAATCACAACTATATATTGTTCATATTACTTTTTCAGGAGTAAAATTATTATAATCATTGACTTTAATATTTCGGGTCTTTTCAGTTGTTGCTGTTAAGAATGTCCATAAAGTGTAATGTCCTACGAAAGATTTTGCAGTGTTTATTTTAGCCAATTTCTCAGATAAGGGGCCAGAGCATTAGTACAGCAGGTACGACAATTGCTTTGCATATGACTGAGCCAGGTTAGATCCCAGCATCCCATATGATCCCCTGCGCACTAACAGGAGTGATCCCTGAACCCAGAGCCAGGAGTAACCCCTGAGCATCATGGGGTATGGCACAAAAACAAAAACAAACTCCCAGATAATTCGAATTCAAACTAATTTGGATCATTAGATTTGATAGTAATCTCATATAGAGTGTCTATCCAAGGATATTTCACTTTCTCCTAATCCTACCATAGTACTATAATGAAAAATCAACTAGAAGGCAGGAGGAGATTGACTTACTTCCAGGAAATGTCCTATAAATTCCTCCTGAAATTATTACTTTCCACTGGAGGAGAGAGAAATCATATTTCTTATATGCATTCCCTTTTCCATGTCAGACTCAAAGCCTGACTGTGTCACAGGTTTCCGTGTCCGAAGCCAAGGTCAGTGAGTGGCCACTGGCTGTGCCCTGGGCCACGTAGAACTCTCATTCTTACTCTCCAGGAAGTAACAGAATGTTGGTCTCTAAATGCATTTGATTAACTCGGAAAAGTTTTTGCTTTAATGAACTCTACCTTGTCTGGGAAATGTAAATGCTTTAAGACACTTGAAGAAATGTTCTGTTGGAATACTTACCCCTATATTGACAAGACAAAAGAAAAGAGATCATCCTTTCTCGCAGCACTGTAGAACCTTCCTTCACCACTAAAGTCTCAGGCAAAGCTTGTGTCAGTTTACTGGTCAAAGGCACACATTTTCTTTTAAGGAGAACCAGAACAGGGGAAAGTGGTTTTATTTTATCCTGAGGAAGCAGAATAGAAGATGGGAAGGAGGTTGCTGTTTTCAGGCTAGTTACAGTCTTAAACGCTCAGTGATAATGAGAAGGTGCAATCTGGTGCAATTTTAGTCTGTAGGTTAAGCCAAAATAACAAATACTTCAGCTTAGTTATTGACTTTAAGATTATCTGAAATTTGTTCTGTGAACTGAGGTTTTAACTTTATGCTAAAGGCTTGTTATGGTGGCTAGAGTTACATAAAGTCATTTTATAAAATGTAGTATTCTCCTCAAGAATAATCCTGTCATATTTTTTGCTAGAAACAAGGTTTCTGAAAGAGATCTGAAAATCAGTCCTAAAAGTCTTAGTGCCCACAATCTGATACAATGCAGTGGAAGATAGATTGTTTTCAGTCCCTTGTTGGTCATAATCACCGCATTAATGATGTTTTTTGAAAAAGAACTATGAGAAAGTAGGTGGCTTTCTTAAAATATTCCATCTTGATAGCTGTGAAGCTGTTTGTGACTTAGCTTTGCTTTAGAATTCTGACGTACTTGTGTTCTATTCTGTTTTAAGTGATTCCATTCATCTCCCCCATATTCTGTATATTTCATTTGTTCTACTGCTGCTTGTTATAAAGAATCAAATGTCTTGGCTTTGGAGAAACCCTAAGCATGCATTTAATTTAACCTTTAAAGAAATAAAGCATTTATATAACTTTACGCTAGGAATTATTAGTTGTCATTGTAATGAGTCTTAACACCTGGTAAGACTTGATCATTTTACAGTTTGCAAATGCAGTTGCTTATTTTCCTTACTGCCAGTGTTAAACTTTACTCCTGAATTAGTTGTAGCATATCATGCTTTGCCTGTCGCTTGCTTGCTTCCTGTCTTTTCCACCTTTTGTTTCATCTTAAAACTAACTGGGAAAAAAATCTGAGTACATACTGGTCCCTATATAAGATTATCTTCTGTCACTAATATAGAGTTTTACCAGAACCATCAGATTATCAGAATATAAGACCTTTGCTTTCCATAAAGATTGGATGACACTTATGTACTTAATTTGTATTTAAAAAGCCAGATATCTTATATGATCCAGACTTTTCATTTGCATATGCATCCCTTTTGGACAAACAGTAAGTGGCTAAGATGTGAGGAGAGCTGGCAGTGATGGTTCTGGACGTCTTTAGGTAATAACTCTTCTTCCTACTTTTCTTTCTATTTCTGCTTCGCTCCTTTTCCTGAACCTGCTCTCAACTTTCCTCCAACTGCTCCTCTGGCACTCTTGTGTGTAAAACAATCACCTGCACCCTAGTTATCCCCATTTGTCCTCGTTCAGCATCTTGCAGCCCCTTCAACACCATGTCCTACAAAGCTGCACACTCTAGAAATTCGATGGACCGACCAAAACTCTTTGTAACGCCACCTGAGGGCTCTGCGAGGAGAAGGACAATGCATGGCACAGCGGTGAGTAGCTGTTGGGAGCAACCTGGCGAGTCTGGGAGCTTGTGCTGATTTTATGTAGAGTAGACCCCCACCCCAGGGTGAAGTGTGGGTGAAAGAGCAGGAGATGGCCACCTCCATTATCTCATCCATCCACCAGTCTTGAAGCTGGCTGGCAGGGCAGTAGGTTTCTCTTATTCACTTTTCACTGGCGGATCTTTGCCTCCCATAAAAATCTGAATTTGGGAAAGAACATTATATTCAAGGTGCTGCTGGTGCTTCCAAGTAAATGTGATGCCAACACTTTGTCAAAAGTCAGAAAACCTCTGAAGGGAAGGTCTGGTCTGCACTGCTTCTCCATTTTATTTATTTATTTATTTATTTATTTGCTTTTGGGGTCACACCCAGCTGTTCAGGTGTTCTTCCTGCCTTTGGGCTCAGGAATTACTTCTGGCGGTACTTGGGCTACCATATGGGATGCCAGGGATTGAACCCAGGTTGGCCGCGTGCAAGGCAAATGCCCTACCTGTACTATTGCTCCGACCCTTTTTTTAATTTTTTCTTTTTAGAAAGTTGTTCATGATTTATTGCATTCAACATTCCAATACCAATCCCACCACCATTGCACCTTCCCACAACCATTTTTTCCAGCTTCTCAATCACCTCTCAAGCTGCCTCTTCTGTTTATACCAGCAATACCCAGAAGCTAACCAGATCCCAAATAGGATTCACTAATAAAGCAAAATAAAACACTTTTTTAAATCTGAATAGTTCAGGCCCAGAGAAATAGTACGGCAGGTAAGCTGCTTGCCTGGGACCTAGCTAACCCAGGTTTGATCCCCAGCACCCTATATGGTCGCCCGAGTACTAGATCACTGAGCACCAGGAGTAACCCCTGAGTACTCCTGAGTTTCTCCAAGCTGGACATGACTCCCTGTCCCCTGTAGCTAATCCCTGTCAAGATCTAAATCTTAAAATATAATGACAATGTATTTTGAGAACACTAGTTATGTGCTAATTGATTCTCGAAAGGTAATTATAACTCAGATTTTTTGAAAAACAATATAATTTGTACTAATATTACTGGCAACTGGCTGAACAAGTGTTTTTACCATGCTGTAACTGCAGTGAGATCCCTTTATGTCTCTAAGGAGTTTTTCTATACCTTAAACTTAATGTTATTTGGTATCCCTTGAAAGACAGCCTTTGTTCTAGGATCTTCAGGCATTAGATTCTAGTCTTAAAAGACACACCAGTCAAGCAAAAGGTTCCTGCTCCCTCTCTCCCATCATTCCTTAATGAAGGGTTGGAATCATTTCTTAAAATCTTAACTTCCCAGAGCAATTTAGATTCATAAAGCTGATGGACACTTAAAAGCATTTGCTTAGGCCTTTGAGGATAATTTAAGAGTTGTAAGAGCTTGATAGCTCTGCCTCCAGGCAATTTACTTCCGAGCCCTTTGGGCTCTTAGAAATCAGTTTAAATTCCTGATTGAGTCACACCTCTAGCTCTTCTAACAAAAGGTGAAAAAGTTAAAAAAAAAAAAAACCCTACTTTTGATGTATGGGATATTTTCCTTCATTATCATATTGGTGCTTCAGAAATACTAAGTGGGCGCTAATTCAAATCGAATTAGAGACCATTAGGAAAATACAGTTTAGATATGTCTACATATGGCTACATAAATTTTCTAGCTTCATGCATCACCTCAACAAACCAGTGTCCTGACACCTTCAGGGGGAGAGTGCTAAAGAGTGATACACAGTGTAACAGACGTTCCTCCCTCCCTTTCATCTGTTTTTCCCCCCTTTCAATGATTGCTTGATTATGCAGAGGAGGCATTTGTGCCTAGATGAGAAAAGTACTTTTTCCCTCATTGGAGCATTTATGTAACCTTCCCTTGGTGGTGTCTCCCAGAATGCAGTCCCTAACACACCCCAGATAAAGTTTATTCTCACTTGTAGATTAAGCACTGGCTCATTGCTGGTTATAGTTTAACGATTCTTACATGTAGGATGGAGGGAAAGTGCTTCCCCAAGGAAAAATACCTTGTAATGGCTAAAAACAAAACTCAGCAAGCACTCCAGGATGGAAGGATGAGGGTTGACCCACAGGTCAAGCAGGTTGAATGATTGAGACCGGTCCCCTGATCTGGAACCCCCACTTTCTCACCAGCATTGCTTTTTGTTTTTAACATATTTGGTTTCTTTCTGTGTTTAATATGTTTTTCTTTTCACTTCTTCACAACCAGTTCTCTCCTCTCTTTTTTAATTCTTTTTTTTCCCCCGTGGTAGGTTTCCCAACAGTACTTGGGAGCTGCTCCAACTTTGTCTTGGGGGATCCTGCAGTGGGCATAGAACCCAGGCCTACTGCATGAAGCATACCAAGCTATTTCTCTAGCCCACTGGCAATTCTTTAGGTAGAATCTTATAGCTGGAAACAGCAAGAAAGTCAGAGCCTATAGGTACACTGTAGAATTCAGTTAAGTAATATCTACGAAGAGCTATTAAACATCTCAAAAGTGGCTAGGAGCTTAAAACTGGATTTTCCGTTTAATTTGATTTCATTTTTAAGTGTCTCATTGTAGTTTAAAGGACATTTTATTTAGTTTAGTCATTTTAATTAGAATTAAATTATTTGCATTGTACAGCCAGTCTCCAGAATTTTTTTAATTACTGCAAAACTGAGATTGCACACATTCAGCAACATGTCTGGTTTTTCCCTCCTCAGCTCCTGACCACCATTTTTCTATTCCTATAAATTTGAAAACTCCAGGTACCTCATACCACTAGAATCATACAATATTTGTCTTTCTGTGGCTGGCTTACTACTTAGAATGTTGTTCTCAAGTTTTCTCCATGTTGCTTCTTGTAACAGGATTTCTTTTGTTTTTAATTCCAATAACATTCTATCATGTTGGTGGGTGGATGGATGGATGGATGGATGGATGGATGGATGGATATCACATCCTGCCATTCTATTTATCTGTTTATGAATGTTTGAGGTGTATCTGTCCATTAGCTTCTGTGATATGGGCATGGGTGTGCAGAACTCCTTAATTTATTTTTTTAAGTTTTTGAGGAACTGCTATATACTTTTTCCTTCTGATTGTACCATTTATATGCCAACAGTGCATAATGATTCCTGATTTTCCACATCTTCCCCAGCATTTTTTTTCTTTTCTGATAGCCATCCTAATGGGTGTAAAGTGATATTTCATTATGCTTTTTATTTACATTTACCTACAAGTGATGTTAAACAATTTTTGCATGTTTGGGATTTTGTTGTTGTTATTTGTCATCATTTAAGAAATACCTTTGAAGAAAATTTGAATATCCTTTCCCAGTTCTAAAAATTATAATCTTTAATTTTGTTTTGTTACCCAAAAAATGTTTTTGATTACTTGAATGAAATTACAGTATCTGTCTTTTATTTTTAAATTTTTTGTTACTGAGTTGAAGTAGATGTTTATATATTTTGATATTAATCCCTGGCTAATATGTGACTTGCAGTTTGTTTCTTCCATTCTTTTTTTTTTTTTATCTTGCTTTGTCTGTCATTCCTTTGGTACACAGAAGCTTTTAAATTTGTACTCCCATTTGTCCGTTTTTGCTTTTGTTCCCCTATACTTTTGATGAACTATCTACCAAAGCATTACCAACCTGGTGCAAGGAAGCTTTTCCCCTGTTTTCTTCCCCCAAAAAACCATAATTGTAAGTTTTATGTTTAGGTCTTTAATCCCATTTTAATTTTTTTTTTTTAATGTGGGGAAGGTAAGGGCCTAAATTTTGCTTTTCTTTAGTTTTCCCAGCATCATTTGTCAGGGAAATTGTCAGTTCTTCCTTTGAATAATCCGGCATCCTTATCAGTGGTTCTTCTACCAAATATAGGAGTTTATTTCTGGGCTATGCTTGATTTCATTGGTAATAGGTCTGTCTTTGTGCCAGTGCTATGTTGTTTTGATTACCTTAGCTTTGATTTTTTTTAAAAAATTATTTAATTAAAGAACTGTGATTTTAAAAGTTGTTGAGATAGTTGAGTTTTATACATATAATATTTCAGCACCAGTCCCATAACCAGTGTCAGTTTTCCTCCATCAATGGTGTACTCCTTCGATTCTTCCACCTTTGCCCTCCTGCCTGCCTCCTTGACAGACATATTACAAAATTCAGTGGTTGTAGCTTAGATCTGAAATTTTCAGTGTTGTTGAGTCTATGCTTTGAATATGCAGCTGTGCAACTCTCCCACATCACCGATATAACTGAAGCCCTATTTCATTATTTCCCATTTTCAACTTGCCCCTTCCCCACTGATTTCTTTCCTTCTCTGCCTTCTCCCTAAACTCAGGGCAAGGGTGATCTCAGCATTCCCCAGCCCCTTTACTAAATTACCTTTCGTCATCCAGTCATTCTGTATGCCATAGATAAGTGAGATCATCCTGTGCTTGATGATTTTCTTTCTTTTTCTGGCTCAATTCACTCAACATGGTATCTTCTAGTTTCAGCCAGGTTGCAGCAAATTGCATGACTTCACTGTTCCTTGCAGCTGTTCCTTACAGTATTCTGTTGTGTATGTATACCCCAAATTTGGAGGTCTCATGTCTTCTCATTTTGAAACAAGAAGGTGTGAGACCTTGTTCATCCTTTTTTTTTTTAAGTTCTTCAGAGTCCCTCAAGTTTCATTCCGTATGAATATAGTGTTACAGATGAATTTTCTGTCTGAAAAAAAAAAGGTGCTGGGTTTTCATGAGGATTTCATGGAATCTCACAGAACGCCTTTCCATTTATCTTTAATTTCACCCAGTAGTGTGAATTTCTAGTTTTCTGTGTATAGTTTCTGCTTCCTTGGTTAAGTTTATTTGTAAGGTTTGTTTTTGTCATTTTGATATTAAAGCATTTTCTTTCTTTTCCTTTTAAATATTATTTAATTTTAATTCATTTAAATCTAAATTTAAATATCTGTAACCGGGGATGTGGCTTGGTGGGAAAGCACTTACCTTCCATGTATAAGCCCTGAGTTCGATGCCTGGCATTGAAAGATAAAAGACTACCATTGAGCATCTGAAATGTATTTTGTGAGACTGAATTTATTGTTCAGTTTTAAAGTGACTTAGATCTCTACTCAGAAAGTCAAGTGTGGAGGTCAGAGAGATAGTTCAGTGGGCTGAAGCACATGCCTTGCATGCAGAAGTCTCTGTTCGAGATCTGGCAATAATGTATTATGCCCTGAGCATCACCAGAAGTGCCCCCGAGCTCAGAACCAGGAGTAGCTCCAGAGCATTGCTGTACCCCTCTCCCCAAAAATGAAAACCACAGAGACAAGTGTGACTAGAAGTAACCATTTTGGGAAAGAATTGATTTTAATGGCACTTTAATAAAGACTATTTAAGGAGAGTACACTTTGCAGCACTCAGGCCGTCAGACTACTGGTCAGATTAGACTGAGAAAACCTGAGGAATATCACCTAGGACGCCCCCGCAGATATTTTTATTCCAGGGGAAAACAGTATAATAAAGGGCTTGGTACTATCTTCAATTTAAGGCTCCTCTGAAGGTCTCTGAACATATCCTTCTAGATAAGGGGAGGCTGCTGCTTTTCTAAAACTTTTCCTTTACTGGTACTTCGGTGTTTTCTCCCAGCTGTCGCCAGTCCATCATCTAGGACACTAGGAAGGGTGGAGATGCAGTAGAGAATGGAGATACACAGTGAGGACACAGGAGAGAAGTAGGGACAAGAAGGCATGGGGAGTTGCCCTTTGAGCCTGGCTGGGAAGAAGGAAAGCATTGGGCCTCCTGCAGCTACTGGCCTCAACCTGTTGGGGCAGCCCTTTCCTCCCTTGCTTTCCTGCTGGTGTCCCACAGAGGAAGGGCTTAAGGCACTCCCCCAGGTGCCCCAACCAACAAAAATGAGTTTTGTTCCCATTGACTTGGCACTTTTTGTCCTTGTTTTTCTTTTGTTGTTAAGTAGTGCTGTTGAGAGAGCTCAGGACCCCACACTTGCCCGCCTAATGTTCTGCCATTGAGCCACTTCCCTGGCCCTCCTGGTTGATTTTAGACTATTCCAACTCCTTCTGCTTCCCTTTACCCATTTCCACTTTGCATCTCTCCAGCTGAATTTCTCGTGAGCAGTCAGAGGGAAGCCGAAGCTTTGACCCATTCTAGAATTTCAGTTTCATGCCTAGTAAGAATACTAAAGACTGCTAAAATCCCCCACCGCAAACCTGCCTTTCCTTACATGAGAATGTTGAAGAGGCTTGTATAGCAATCAATACGAAGGGGGAAAAAATGAGTTAATGTCTAATATAGCAGATATAAATTCGTTTTTCATCTGGGCTGAAAAAATTAAAATCCTTAAGAATGAAGGTGGGGAGGGAAGCCAGTGAGAAAGTACGGGGGTTAAGGCATTTGCCTCTGTACAGCTGACCTCAGTTCATTCCTTTGCAGTGCCAAGAGTGAGTCCTGAGCAATGGTGTGTGTGGCCCAAAAACAAAAGACATGAAAGGGCCATTTTAATTAAAGCTCTATTAAGCTCCTTGGTCTTGCAGTGGGGTGGAATGAATAAATATGGGAAAACTTAGAATCTATTTCTCAAAAGTCATTAAAATAGATGGTGGCTCAGGGGATGGAACCATAGCACAGCAGGTAGGGCCTTTTGCCTTGCATGCGGCCAACCCGGGTTCAATTCCTAGCATCCTATATCATCCGCTGAGCACCTCCAGGAGTAATTCCTGAGTGCAGAACCAGGAGTAACCCTTGAACATCACTGGTGTGATCCAAAAAGCAAAAAAAAAAAGTAGATGGTGGCTCTACTATCGGGTATTCTGAAGGTAATTGTCCTATACATGGAAAAAAACCCAATGATCATGTTTCTCTGGATTTAGGGCTATAAAAGAGAGCGGGACAGAGAGAATGTGCCCTTCCACCTCACCACTGGCTTCCGAAGGGCTCTCTCACCATCCAATCCCAAAACCAGATCACCAGCCTCCTCTCGACTTTGGTACGTAAAGTAGACTCGCTGTTCTAGTCCACATTGGAGAATCAGTAGCCTCCAACCTTTGAGCTCTTCTGCCATGCTGTCTGGCCTTGACTTAGGGAATAAACCATTTTCCTTAAAAAAAAAAAACTGGGGTGTCTCTAAGGGGTGTGTGTGTGTGTGTGTGTGTGTGTGTGTGTGTGTGTTTGGCACATAAGAGACAAGAGCTCATAGATAGTTTTATCCCTTGACATGGTAGAGGGGTGGGGGAGGAAGATTCTAGAAAATCTGCACTGACTTCCTTTTCCATTTGTTTATTGCCCAGGCTCCCATCCAAATCCTTTCCTCATTTACCTGGCACACCCAGACCAATGTCTGCCCTGCCTTCAGGACCAGGCAAAGTGAGCCCTGCTCAGCCCCGACCCGCTTCCCCGGGCAATGTTCGCCCTGTCAAGAGAGAAACCGAGAGAAAAGACCCTGACAAGGAAACTCCGCGCGTTGCCAACGAGCCATCCCTGAAGAGCCGAACACCTCTAGTGAAGGTAGAGGAAGCCCCCCTGGAAGAGGGGATATCTGTGGAGTCAGAGCCGGCCCCCGGTAAGAGCCAGCAGACGGCTGCGGGTGGGTGAACTTTCAGCTCTCTTTGCCTTCATGTCCTGGTTCTCCTGTGCTATTCTCACTTCGCATTTGCCTTCGCGTTATTCTGTTTCTCATTTGATTTTTTCCCCCCATCCTTTGCCCATTGCTGATGGAGAGGGGAGGGGTGGGAGGTCAGGGGGATGCACTCTTGGTTGAGTCGCCGAAGTGTTCACGTTTGCCATGTGCAGCAATGTGAGGAGTCACGGTGCCCTCCTGCCAGTCTGCAGAGCAGGCTTTCTGCCACTCTGCTGTCCCTTGGCCCCTTGGCATTTCCTCCCTATAGAGGACTTAGGAATTTACTCCGAGGCATCCTGAAGGGCCCTAACTAAGTCTGCCATTCTTGCATAGAAAGGAAATAGAATCACAAATCCAAAAGCCTCTGGTTAGAGCTAATGTCACCTCAGGTGTGATCACTGACTCCTTTTATTGCATCACAGTCGTTACCTCTTGGCGTGTAATAATGTGTCCCAAAACCTTGCCGCAATGGTTGCCGCATCACAGAGATTTGAGGCCAGCAGTTGAGAAGCAGCTTGGGGTTGAGGCTCCTGTAAGTGATTTCAGCAGGAGGCCTTTATTTCCCGACAAGAGAACTTCTTGTAGGGTTGTTGGATGTCCTCTCAGTCTTGGCTGCCTGCTCTGCTGATTTGCCCCAGAGTGAGTAATCCTACGAGAGAGAGAGAGAGAGAGAGAGAGAGAGAGAGAGAGAGAGAGAGAGAGAGAGAGAGAAATAGAAGGAATCCAGAGTATCTTAAGCTGACTTAGGCATCACAAAATTTTGTGATTTCTTCATTTGACATTCGCCATATAAGTGGAGGAGGAGGATGTAGGCAAATAGATAGGGGGACCCTGGTAATTATTTGGTGGGGGGAGGGGATAATAAAACTAAGAGGAAATTTTCTAGTCCTATAGTAGTCCAAAGTCATGAGTCTCAAACCCTTTAAGATGAAAAAAACAAGTTTTTTGGCTGTGGAGTAAATGAGCTACCACTCCATGCAGAAATTTTGAATCATTTGGAAATTTAAAATCATTTGGAACTAGGAATTTAGTATTCTTAATGGAAGTTGTCTTAGTTCTAAAGTTTTTTTCCTTAAAACTTAATTTGAGGGGCTAGAGCAATAGCAGGTAGGGTGTATGCCTTGCACATGGTCAACCTGGGTTCGATTTCCAGCATCCCATATGGTCCCTGAGCACCGCCAGGGGTAATTCCTGAGTGCATGAGCCAGGAGTAACCCCTGTGCATCACCGGGTATGACCCAAAAAAGGGAGAAAAAAAAACCTTAATTTGAGGCTGGCGAGATAGTACAAGAGTTCAGACCTTTGCCATGCAATATGGCTGACTCCTTTTTGATTCCTGCCACTGGGTATGGTCCCCTGAGCACCCTCAGAGTGGAGTAGGAGCAAAGAAAGAGCAGGTGGCTCAAGACAGATACTAAGTTTTGTTAGTGAACAGTGTTAATTTGCATGGACATTCTCCTGAAAGTAAAGGGAAATTTGTGCAAGTCAGGATGTGGCTCAGAGATGTAGAATAGAACATGCCTTGTATGTGTAAGGTCTCAAATTTGATCCCTGTCACTGCATAGCCCTCTTAAGTACCACCTGGAGCAGCCCTGGCACCCTCAGGTACCTTCAACAAGGGAGAGGAGAAAGGAGGAGAAAAAAATTAAAATGAAGAATTTTGTGGAAGCAGAAGTAGTACAAGTCTTAAAGTGGAATGGTCAGTGCCAGACTTCACAGGCCCCAAGCCTTGTGCTCCTGGTGTCCCATAGCCCATGTGCCCAGACCTGGCATAGCTAAGCACATTCACAGAAACTTTGGCTCCGATCATGTAGAAATTAGAGAGAGAGTGGGGGGTTGGGGGGGCTCTTTCCTTAGGTATCATCCTTCCAGCCTGAATCTGGCCTGGCAGCATGGATGCTGAGAATCATAGAAAGACTTTAGTAATAAGCAGTCACTAAAGAAAGAAAGGGGATGGGGCTGGAGTGATAGTACAAGAGTAGGGCATTTGCCTTGCATGTAGCCGACCTAGGTTTGATCCCCGGCATCCCATATGGTCCCCTAAGCACCGCCAGGAGTAACCCCTGAGCATCGCCGGGTGTGACCCAAAAAGCCAAAAAAAGGGGGGGTGAGGGGGTAAAGTTGGTTTTTTAATTTTTTTTTTAATGTAATGAAAGACAAATTAAAATCACATCTTTTTGCTCGGGGTACAACTTCCCAGAGTTGTAACACAGGATCTCCACTCGGTTCACATTGAGTAGATCCTGTTAACTGATTGACCACGTGTGAAAATAAAGACGAGGCGGCATTGTGGCAGCTTTGTTGGACGTCTCGCTTACACATGCAGCTTTTTGTTTTCTGTTGCTTGGCTACATGTAGAATACCGTGAAACCGTGAGAACACACAGTAATAAGCATTCCCTTTTCTTCTCCAATGATGAATTCTAGGCCTGGGGTGTGGGGAATGCTAGTTTTTGTTTTATTCTTTGGGTTTTGTTTCCAGCTGGTTTTCTTCTTGTACCTGTTTGTGCAGCTGCTCCAGCCATGGCCCCGGCCCCAGCCCCCTCTCCAGTCCCGGCTCCTGTTCCGGCCTCGGCCTCAGCCCCCACGCCGGGCCCAGGCCCATCACCCACTGTGACCGCCTCGCCGAAGACCTCCGCAGGCACCACTGACCCAGAAGAGGCCACCAGGTTGCTAGCTGAGAAGAGACGGCTGGCCCGGGAACAGAGAGAGAAGGAGGAAAAGGAGAAGAGAGAAAGGGAAGAACTGGAAAGGTAAAAGGCACAGTGGTTGCTTTGGCGACATGTTGTCAGTGAGACCCTAGTGATGCCTTGGAGTGAGTCCTTTCCCGTCTAAGTCCCAGAAGTAGAAATAATGGAGGTGGAGGTGAACTGATTGACTCTTTCTGAATTCCTTTTACCTGCTGTTCTTCTCACTCCTAGAGGACTCTCTGAGATCACATTTTCCTGTTTTAAAGGTAGCACAACAGAATTGGAGGAGTGAAGGAAAAAGGTTTAAATGGGAAAGAAAAAACATTAAGGAGATTTCAATAACTGTATGTTTTGAGTAGTCCTGAGTCACTCTGAGGAGAGTGTGGGTGTATGTACATAAATGCACACACATGCATTTACGTAACTCTGCCTATCATAGAGGTACAGTTGTGCAATTGTTTTTACTCACCTATCTCTAATCTCCATGTTTCCTCATTATATTTCTTAATTATTTTAAGGCTGCATAATTAGAGCTCATATTTTCTTCTTTCTAGCTAGAACACCTCCCAGGATAGCCGGGTGAGACTGTAAAATGCCCAATAATTGCCTGCCAAGACACTGTGCCAGGCACAGTTTGCTTGCCTGATCCCCTTCTGAGGCTAATAAGGCTAATGTCAATATAATTGTTCTTCAGATAAGCAGGACTGTGCCTTCGGGAAGAAATGGAGCCCCACTCTAGCTGCCATCTTGAAGGTACCCTGCCCTTGGCCTCAGCAGGCAGCCAAATATCCATCTTCCTCCTATCTGGTGACAGAACATTAAGTAAAGTAAAGTAAAGGCCCTCCCGTTGATCATCGATTTGCTCGAGCGGGCCCAGTAACGTCTCCATTGGAGACTTTGTTGTTACTGTGTCTGGCATATCGAATACTCTCGGTAGCTTGCCGGGCTCTCCGAGAGGGGCGGAGGAATCGAACTCAGGTCGGCCATGTTGGCTGCGTGCAAGGCAAATGCCCTACCCGCTGTGCTATCGCTCTTTTATTATTTGCCGAGATAGCTCCCTTTTTTTTTTTTTTGCTTATTTTTCCACGAAGAAGTCATATCATTGAATTAAACAAATCTTAGCCTTTAAAGATTGTTAAATTCCAGGTCCCCTAAAATATTTTTTTCCTCAAACTCTTAGTGGTTTCCTTTTGCTTCTGTTTACCACAGACTGAGAAGATGAGGACGAAAACAGGGTGATTCTTATTTTCGTTCCCTAACAATGTTGTACTTGTCAAGGAGATTTTTTTTTTAATTTGTTTATTAGAGAGGTACTGTTACAGACTTACAAACTTTCGTGCTTGCGTTTCAGTCATACAATGATCCAGTACCCATCCCTCCACCAGTGCCCATTCTCCACTACCGATGGTCCCAGTATCCCTCCCCCCACCCCCACCTAGTCCCCCCACCTCACCCCACCTCTGTGGCAGGTGCATTCCCTTTTGCTCTCTCTTTCTCAGGAGGAGATACTTTTCCAGATATCTGAACACACCTTCCTTGCAGTAACCACACACTGCTTCTCCTCATTGTTGTTGTTTTTTGTTTTTTGTTTTTGTGTTTTTAATCTTTTTTCAGACAAAAAAGAGAAGAGTTGGCTCAAAGGGTGGCTGAAGAGAGATCTCGGCGGGAGGAAGAATCCCGAAGGCAGGAAGCCGAGCAGGCCCGCGAGAAGGAGGAGCAGTTGAGGCGGCAGGCAGAGGAGCGCGAGCGGGAGGAGCTGGAGCGCGCCCAGAGACAGGTGGGGGCGCTGGGGTCCCTGAAGGGAAGCGGCCCTTGGGCAGGGGACAGTGTCCTTGTCTCTGGAAGGGTCCGGCGTCCTCTGCTCACGCTCATTGCCCACGCGATGCTGTCGGCCACTTGACCTCAATTCAAGATGCCCAGGGAAATTGAGGCAGTGGGCAGAGCCAGCCTCGGTGTGAGGAGCACCATGCTGAATTTGTGTTTCCAGAAGGAAGAAGAAGCTCGGGTTCGGGAAGAAGCAGAGAGGGCCCGGCAGGAAAGGGAGAAGCATTTCCAGAAGGAAGAACAGGAGCGCCTGGAGAGAAAGAAGGTGACCAGAAGCCTGGGGCACTAACTGTTGAGATACTTACTTTCTATTATTATTATTTTTGGTGTGTGGAGGGAGGTCATTTTAAATTTTTTTTAACCTTTTTGTTTGTTTTCAAATTGAGGTACTGTATTTTACAATCTTTTTTTACAATATTTTTGATGATGGTTTCTCATGCACATAATTCCAACACCAGACCCATCTCCAATGAACACACCTCCCTCCCTCAGCTTCTCTGCCCCGGCCTTTTAGCAACACCCCCTCTGCACAAAACTTAGTTTTGTGGGTCAGTTCTCTTGTGTTGCCTTTGGCCCTTTGTGGCTCCTTTGCTGTTTATCTCTAAGTCCCACATGTAAGTGAGAACATTCCATATCTTGGAGCAACTGGGCCCACTGACTAGCCATCCATACACAAATGTGCAGGCAGAAGAGGCAGTGCAGGGAGTGAGGCACACTTGCCTTGCACACTGTAGACACAGGTTCGATCCCCCAGCACCGTGTATGGTCCCATTACCAAGAGTACAGGAGTAAGCTCTGAGCATAGCTAAGTGTGGCACCAAAATAACAGCAAAAAGAAAAAAAAATGTATTCCTACTTATTGAAGAAAATTGAAGTTGCTCTTTGTATTATTAATACAATTTTTGGTTAGGGTTTTTGTGTTGCTTTTTTTTTTTATTTTTTATTTGCCCATTACAGAGTATAGTACAGCGGGTAGGGCATTTGCCTTGCACGAGGCCAACCCGGGTTCGATTCCTCTGTCTCTCTCAGAGAGCCCAGCAAGCTACCAAGAGTATCTCACCCGCACGGCAGAGCCTGGCAAGCTCCTCGTAGCATATTCGATATGCCAAAAACAGTAACAAGTCTCACAATGGAGACATTACTGGTGCCTGCTCAAGCAAATTGATGAACAATGGGATGACAGTGCTATAGTGCTTTTTTTTTTTTTTTTGGTGTTTTTGGTTTTGGGTCTATACCTTGTGAGGCTCAAGGGTTACTCCTGGCAGTGCTCGAAAGACCATCTGGTATGCCCAGGAACGAACCTCAGTCAGCCACATGAAGGCAAATGCACTGCTAACTGCTGTACTATCTCTCCAGTCCTTCTCTTCATTTTTATCCAAAATAATTCTTACTCATGGCTTAATCTAGTTCTAACTGCTTTGGCTATAGAATAAAGTAATGGATGTTATATTGTCCCAGATTAACATGTTATCCACAGATGATTTGTTGTGCCAGGCAATTTTGTTTTCTGTAAGTGATCTTTCGCTCAATTATTCCTTGCTTGTAGCGACTTGAGGAAATTATGAAAAGAACCAGGAAAACAGAAGCTCCAGATAAGGTAATGAGATGACCATTTTTTAACTTTGTTAAGAACTTTGTTTTCCCCTTTACTTTTACTTTCTCCTTTAAACACTAAAAATTCCCTTTTTCCCCTTCTTTGTAGAAAACTCTTGATCAGAGAAATGGAGATATAGCCAAGGGAGCTCTCACTGGAGAAACAGGTACTTATTTCTGAGCACTTAATTCAAGTCTAGAGTTTAACTTAATTGAAGTCAAAATAAATCATTGATTAAAAATATACTTACAGAACCATCAGTATATGTCACCTAGTTCACAGATTTTCCCCTTGTTTATAACTCTCTAGCATTTGGCATTCTTGGTGTTTGGTTTTTATCTTTTCTATATTCTTATGAATGTGAAATAAGCTTATTTTACATTACTGATAAGTTTGTATTTACTTATGTGTGTGTCACTATAGATATATAATAACTCCCTAAGTATGTGTATATGTATATATGTATAAATTTATATTAAGAGAACTTTTATTAAATATAAAATTAAATTTCACTCATTTACTACTTGCCAAAGTAACGTGTATATTTGCTCTTAAGATCCTTGTTTTTTAAAAAAAAATCTTTTGTTGTTGTTGTTGTTGTTGTTTTAGTTTATTTATAATTGAATCACCTTGAGATACATAGTTACAAAGTTGTTCATAATTGGGTTTCTGTCATACAGTGTTCCAACACCCATCCTTTCACCCAAGTTTATCCAGCTAGTGTATATTTCCCACCACCAATAGCCCCAGTCACTCTCCTGTACCCTACACCTCACTCTCTCTCTCTCTCTCTCTTCCTCCCTCTCTCCCTCCTTCCCTCCCTCCCTTCCTCTCGCTTCCCTTTGTCCCCCTCTCTTTCCCCTTCCCTCCCTCCCCGATTCCCCTTTTGGGCATTATAGCTTGCATTACAAAAACTGAAATGTTATCATGCATATCCCTTTACTTTCAGCATTCAGTTCTTGTCCAGTGATCCCTTCCAAATATTGTTGTACTGGTTCTTTATCCTAACTGCCCTCCACCCCATACATACTTGTAGCAAGCTTCCAGCCGTGAGCCAGTATTCCTGGCCCCTGTTTTTTCTATCCTTGAATATTAGTCTTATACTATGTTCTTTTTATATCTCATAAATTAGTGCAGTCATTCTGTATCTGTCCCTCTTCTTTTGACTCATTTCACTCAGTCTGATACTCTCCATGTCCATCCATTTATAAGCAAATTTCATGACTTCATTCTTCCTTGCTCTGGAAGTGCTTAGGGGACCATATGGAGAGCCAGGGATCAAGCCCAGGTGGGCCAGGTACAAGGCAAGTGCCTTATTAGCTGTACTGCCTTGGGATTTTTTTTGGTTTGGTTTGTTTTTTTTTCCATTTTGGTTTTTTGGGTCACACCCAGTAATGCTGATGGGTACTTCTGGCGTTGCACTCAGGAATTACTCTTGTCAGTGCTCAGAGGTCAATATGGGATGTTGGGGATCAAACCCAGGTCAGCCACATGCAAGGCAAATGCTCTACCCACTGTACTATAGCTCTGGCCTCCAGATGTACTGTCCCTCCAGACCCAGGGTTATCAGTGCAGGTTGGTAAGTTTATAGGCATATCAAGAGTCTGTAAATTCCTATCAGTAGACTCCTTTCAGGAGTTCAGAGACTGCCTGTTAACAGCTTGGGAAATTGGGGAGCTTGGAAATTATCAATTACTTCCTTGCTTCAGTTAAGTCAATCTTTGAGCCGGTGGCAGTTTTATTGAATTTGTGCCAGACAGTGAAATCACATTTGGATTCACATCAATTACTCTCTCAAGTTGAAACTGCCACAAATTTCCCTGAAACTCTGACCTTTACAAAGGTTGACAAGACTTTAACCCTGTCCCAAATTTTATAGTCAGGCATCAATATTGTTGACCTAACTAAGCTGTATTCCATCATTGGGTGCTGGAAAATAAGGTAGCAGTGTGGGTATAATTCACTGTGTCTTCCAGGTCAGTGATAGCCTGTCATTATAAATGTGACCAGGACACAACCGAGTTTTAAAAAACATTAGTCATCACTAAAAGTATTTCATGGTGATTTACTCCAAGTCCTGCAGTAAAGATGTTCTGAGTGTCCCTGGTTGTTTCCCCACTGCTATCTTCACTTTCAATGATATGTACTTTCTGGGGCTGAAGCAGTAGCATAGCGGGTAGGGCATATGCCTTGCATGCAGCCTATGATCCCTGGCACCACAAATGATCCCCCGAGGCCCCCCAGAAATTATCCTTTAGGACAGAGCTAGGATTAAACCCTAAGTACCAAACACAAAAGTCAGTACTGTCAAGTCAATGCAAACAAAAATCATAGCAGCATTGATTTTCACTATTACAAAGTGCTAGATACTGTTCTAAGTACTTAGTGTCTGAGATCTTATGCTTAATCCTCCTTGTAGCCACTGAAGTAGGTGTAGGCACTATTATCCCTGACGAAACTGCAACACAGATTAGTAAATAGCAGAGCCAAGCATTCTGAGTCCTGGAGAGCAGATTTTATAATAATGACCCTTTATCCTCTCTCTGCTCTGTCCAGCAGTGTCTGCACTTCCGACTCTAGTGAACGCTGCCGGAAGTGGAGAACCAGTGACCAGCACACCTGCGGTTACCTCACACCAATCAGAAGTGACTGTGGAGAGGTGAGTCATACCCGGTCCTTTTTCACTGACTCACATTAAAGGAGAACATTACTGTTTTTTTGCCACTCAACCCTATTGACTTCGGGTAGAGCTAATAATTCTATGGCCTGAGAAAGGGAAAAAAAAAATTTTTTTTTCTTGAGTCTTTGATGGTAAGATTTTAGAATGACTAACAAAGAAAATTATAGGGAAGAATTTGTTCATTTCTCTATGTAGCTGAGGTAACTGTATGCACATCAAAGCCATCAAAGAGTTGACACTGTTGTAATTATATGACCCAAATTATAATAAGTAAAAATTCTTTAAATGAGTTTTCTAAGGAGGCAGGATAGGGAGAGGGAGGGAGGGAACCTTGGGTCATTGATGCAGGGATGCTTTAAAAAAAATACAGAAAAATTTCATTTAGAATGCTAAAAAAAAAGAAAACATAAAATAAAATTACAAAATAAAGAACCAGGAACCAGACTGATAGTATGGGATTTAAAATGTTTGGCTTGCATGTGGGCTGGAATGATAGCACAGCAGTAGGGCATTTGTCTTGCGTGCAGCCAGCCCTGCTGAGCCGGGTTCGATTCCTCCGCCCCTCTCAGAGAGCCTGGCAAGCTATCAAGAGAGTATTCAATATGCCAAACACAGTAACAAGAAGTCTCATAATGAAGATGTTACTGGGCCGGCACAAGCAAATCGATGAACAACGGGAGGACAGTGTTTGTTTGTTTGGCTTGCATGTGACAACCCCAACCTCAGTACCAGAGTGACCCCCAAGCACAGAGACAGGAGTAAACCTGACCCCCCGGCACTGCTGGGTGTGGCCCAGAAACAAACGGAAATATGGAATCAAATATTTAGATGTATTATATGTGGAAGAAAGCGTTAGAACATAATAGTAAGGAAAGGTTTTCACTTCTTGTTGGATACTTTATTACATTTTTTAAAAATAGAAATAGAAATTTTTGAAAAATAGTTCTTAGCTTGTTTATTGTTTTGGCTATAGCTGGCAGTGCTCAAGGCTTACTTCTGGTGGTGGGCTCAGGGAGCACTGCTGCTGGTGGGCTCTGGGAATCAGATGGGGCCTTGCCTGCTATATTGTCTCTGTAGCCCTAGTTACTTTTTTGTTGAAATTTAATTAGTAATTAAATTTAATATTTAATTCATTTTCCAGAAAATTATTTTTTGGCCACCTCCCCACACCCAATGGTGTTTGTTTTGCCATGGTTCATTTCACCCCTTGCATTTAATGTTATCTCAGCTACTTTGAAACTCATGTTTCTGTACAGTACACCTTGTCTCTTAGCTTTTACTTGACAGAAACAGTATTTATAGATCCTGTTCAATCTAGTTATTTTGCTTTTGCTCCTTGTCTCTTGAACTAACCCTGTTATCAGCGTGCTCTGAAGTACGAATGTGAAATGAGCTGCTGAAGTCAGGCAGCAAAACTCAGTTTTGTGACAGTCATAGATGATCAGACTGCTCATCTATTGATTTTTTAAATTTTTGTAATTTTTACCAGATTGGAAACTTTGTTTCAGGCCCACACCCTGTGATGCTCAGAGCAAATACCTGGCTCTGTGCTCAGGGATTAAGTTCTTTTTCACTATTCCTCTTTTTTTTGGAAGTAAAACAGACTTATTTGGAGGTTTTGAGGGCAAGGAGGAAGAGAAAGTGGGAGAGAGTGGAGAGTAACATGCTCAAGAGAGAACCCAGGGGGCTAGAGAGATAGCACAGTGGGTAGGGCGTTTGCCTTGTACACAGCCGACCCGGGTTCAATTCCCAGCATCCCATATGGCCCCCTGAGCACCGCCAGGAGTAACTCCTGAGTACAGAGCCAGGAGTAACCCCTGTGCATCGCTGGGTGTGATCCCAAAAGGAAAAAAGAGAGAGAGAGAGAGAGAGAGAGAGAGAGAGAGAACCCAGGCTTCTCCAAGGGCATAGAGAGCCCCGAAACACAACCCAGCATTAGACATGAAAGTACACATCTCAAGAGGGAAGATGCAGGTGACACATGCTCAGGCACCATATGTGCTCTGCCACGTGGCCACAAGCAGTACATGGGCTCGGGCAGCATATGCATGCCACTATTTCAAGATGTTTTATCACTGTCACTGTCCTCCCATTGTTCATTGATTTGCTTGAGTGGGCCCAGTAATGTCTCCATTGTGACACTTGTTACTGTGTTTGGCATATCGAATATGTCACCAGTAGCTTGCCAGGCTTTGCCGTGCATCTCGGTATCTTGCCGGGCTCTCCGAGAGGGGCAGAGGAATCAAACCTGGGTCAGCCGGGTCGGCCGCGTGTAAGGCAAACTCCCTTCCTGCTGTGCTATTGCTCCAACCCAAGACCTTTCATAAGTTATCATTTTGTTTCTATTCCCTTTCTGCTTTCATCTTACAAACTGAACATTCCTGTACTCACTGTATCAGTCAGGGTTCAGTCACTAGAAGAAAAAACAGATAAATCTTATAATAGAAACAATAAACATTTAAACATAGTATGAGACTGACACCCAAGGACAATAGTCACAAGGACCAGGAATAGTGCTCCATATTTGAAGTAAAACTGCCTCATGAGCTGGGGGAGAAGGCAAATGAAATAGAAAAGGGATCACTAAGTCAATGATCGTTGGAGGGATCGTTCAGGATGGGAGATGTGTGCTGAAAGTAGATAAAGGAACAAACAGGATAGTCTCCCAGTATCTATATTTCAAACCGTAATGCCCAAAAGTAGAGAATGTGGGGAAAATTGTCTGCCATAGAGGCAGGGGGGAGAGTTGGAATTGGGGGGTGGGGGGGCTGGTAATACTGGGTCATTGGTGATGGAGAATGTGCACTGGTGAAGGGATGGGTGTTCAATCATTGTATGACTGAAACTCAAACATGAAAGTTTTGTAATTGTATGTCATGGTGACTCAATTTTAAAAAATTTCATTTTTAAAAATGAAAAGAGCAGTATGTATAGTGGGTAAGATGCTTGCCTTGCACATGGCCAACATGGGTTCAATCCCTGGAATCCCTGAATACTGCTAGGGGTAATTCCTGAATGCAGAACCAGGCATAAACCCTGAGCATCACTGAATGTGGCCCAAACAGCAAAATAAGTAAATTGATAAACATTTAGGGCCTAGAGAATACAGCACGTAATGTGCTTGCCTTGTTTATATGTGGCCGTCCCAGACTTGATCCCAGACACCACACAGGATCCCCCACACACCACCCAAAATGATCCAGAGTGTAGAGCCAAGAGTAAGGTCTATGCACAGCCAGGTGTAGCTCCCCAAAACCCCAAGTAAATTAATTTTTAAATAGTAAGCATTTCTTGGGGCCAGAGAGATAGCTCAGCAGGTGGAGTTCATGCTTTGCATGCAGGAAGCCAGATTATTTTTTTTTAAATCTCTGACCTCTTCTATCACTTTATTTAATTTAGGATCAGGATGGATTAAAAGTTAAAACCGTCACAATTTTTACTTTATAATTTTTATCACTTTCTTTTTTCATTTGGAAATTTAAACTAGAATAATTTTGTCATTTCAGATAGGGTCATTTTGGATACATGAATTGAGCACTGAAAAATTATGATGCTTATAAATATGTATATAGCTACAGTAAGAGAAAATGAATAATAAAACTAATCTGGCATTCACTTGATGCACAAGCATTGTTTTTACTACATCAAGAAGCATAATAATGAATAAAAAGGGCTGTCGATTTTGCTCTAGGGCTTGTAAAGAGAGTGAACAATCTAAGGAACAAAGAAATTTAAGGATTTGATGGCCAATTCCAAGTTATTAAACATGAGAATCAAGGTAGAAAAATCAGAGGCAAATTTAAAGAAAAAAAGATGAAAAAGTTTGCCTTTGGCAGTTTATTGTGAGTTAATACACACAGATCCCAGGCTTTGGCTCAGCTGTCAAGCACTTGCCTTGCACATGAGGCCATGGGTTTAAGTCCTCGAAGCATATGGACCGCCAGCACTACTGAAAGCAAACCCTGAGCACTGAGCTAAGAGTAGATCCTGAGTACCAGTTGGGTGACAAAAAAACAACAATATTAATGCACGTGTTTCAAGAATCCAGTGATATCAAGTGATAGTTTCAAGTTTAAACAACCGGAGAATGTACAAAATGATAGAATGATGGGAATACAAAACCAGAAATCAAAGTATGTGTTTTGGTTTTTCCTGTGTCTTGGAACTTCTGCAATTTTGTGCCAATCATCTACCTCACTCCCTTCTTATAATGCACTCATCTTTGAAGTGAAATCCTAATAATGTATCTGTCAGAACAAAGCCTTCTGAAAATGTCTGCATGAGAAATGTATAAAACTCTTGGAGATATGATAATGGTATGATTGTAAATTGTTCTATTTAATGTTATAACCTTAGGCTAGAGCAATAGCACAGTGGGTAGGGTGTTTGCCTTGCACGCAGCCAACATGGCTGACCCGAGTTCGATTCCTCCACCCCTCTTGGAGAGCCTGGCAAACTACTGAGATTATCTTGCCCGCACGGCAAAGCCTGGCAAGCTCCCTGTGATATATTCGATATGCCAAACAGTACCAACAACCAACTCTCATGATGGAGATGTTACTGGGCCCGCTCAAGCAAATCGATGAACATCGGGAGGACAGTGATACAGTGAATGTTATAACCCTAAATTTCTAATTAAATGCAAACATTTAGGGGTGAAAGGGAGAAAAAGATGCAAATGTGTAAAATTTTTTTTCTTTTTAGTAATCATGTGGTCCGTCTGTCTCACATGATTGTAAAGGTAAAGGTAAAGGCCCTCCGGTTGATCGTCGATTTGCTCGAGCAGGCCCAGTAACGTCTCCATTGGAGACTTTGTTGTTACTGTGTCTGGCATATCCAATACTCTCGGTAGCTTGCCGGGCTCTCCGAGAGGGGCGGAGGAATCGAACTCAGGTCGGCCATGTTGGCCGCTTGTAAGGCGAACGCCCTACCCGCTGTGCTATCGCTCCAGCCCCACATGATTGTAAAGCTATCTATTATGTAAGTCTTTGGGTGTCCCCAAAATGTATTTTCCTTTTTTAATCCCAACTCATCTTGATGGTGATTTTTTTAAATTTCTCCAGTACTGCCAACTTGGAAAAACCAAATGAAAATGGAGTATCTGTTCAGAATGAAAATTTTGAAGAGATCATAAACTTACCCATTGGATCTAAACCATCCAGATTAGATGTCACCAACAGCGAGAGCCCAGAAATTCCTCTGAATCCAATTTTGGCCTTTGATGAGGAAGGAACACTTGGGCCCCTGCCTCAGGTAGATGGTGTTCAGACACAGCAGACAGCAGGTAAGCTTGCCTCCCACTCACTTGAGCAGTGACCACCCCAGAGGGAGTGAACCTTCTGCACTGTGGCCATGGCACGGGACTCCTTGAGCCTCCTGGAGAAGATTACACATGGACCATAAAAATGGAATTCTGAGTTGGACTCAGCAACATGTAGGGCCCCTCTTCTTTATTCCCCCACTCAGTGCGGAAATCTAGTTTGCAGCCACCGCTGGATTCCAGCAGTGTGTCCTCAGCATCAGCACCCCACCATACTCACTGTGAGAACACACCTCCCCAGCAAGCCACTGCCTAGTGCCTCCCCATAACATCAGGACCCGTGCACCAAGACGTGCCCACTGGAGAAAATTTTGCTGGGGTTGTTTTCCCCCCAACTCAACTCTTGAGACATTAGAACACTGCTCTCATGTTCTGTCACCATGTTTTTCTTGTTTGGTTACTGGACTATTTTATAATATTATGGTCCTTTTAAAATGTATTAAGATACAATGGAGAGTTGTGACCTAGATCACTGGTTTTGGGCCTTTCATATCTGCAAGCTGGTAAAAAAAAAAAATAGAAATATTTCATTGACCTCTAAAAGAGAAATAAAAGCCATTATTTTTAATTGTTTCATGTATTCATTTTTAATTTGACATCATAAAATGAGCATTTTATCCATATATCTCATGTGCTAAGTAGAAGGAAATTTCTGTTGACAGGCACCAAACCATGGACTGGAGGTTGAAGATCATATAGTTTAGAGAATGGGATGGCTACTCAAACCTAGGATCAGACTGAGCCTGTTTTCTCTTGCTGAGTGACTGTATCTATTGCTGGTATTAACTATGACTGTCTCATAGCCTCTCTGGGGTTCACACTTGTCCCAAAGTCTTTATGCCCAAAGAATAGTAGTTTTATAGCACCCCAAAAGATAAGTAACATCACAGATTACTAACTCACTGGACGTAGCATTTCAACAGCACAAACCCATCAATCTCAGGAATAATAAGTAAGATCATCCCAGTTCTGTCTCTTTGTCTTTTTAGACCTCTTTCTGTTTTGACAGATTCTTGTCCTAGTGGATCACTTTCATAGAGGTTACTAGCATCTCATTATACTGCATTAAACAAACTTGGCCATAGTCCTCTTTTTGTTTGTTAGTTTGATTTTTAGTCCCCAATAGGCGGTGCACAAGGATTATTCCTGACTCTGAGCTCAAGGATATTTCCTGTCTCGGGACCATATGTGGTATCAAGGAATGAACCTGGGTCAGCCGCCTGCAAGGCGCCCTACCTACTATACTGTCACTCCAGTCCCATGTTCCCCAAGTATTTAAACAGTCAAGAAGGGATTATTTGTGGTCAAATAGAAGTTCTAACATTCTCCCAGTCCTGATATTCTCATTCATAGGCCTATGAGAACTGTCTGATTGCTTGTATATAGGTGGAAATACTCTTGGTGGGACTTTTGCTATAGTCAGGTCACAAATTCACAAAAAGATAAGGAACATCCAGAGAAGCTGATGACTTCTGCACCATTTTCCAGGCCTCAAGTCACCTTTGATTTATCTACGATTCCATCCTCATTCTCCTCCCCTTTCATGCCTGCCTTTCTTAGGAACATAGTCCAGTATCTGTGATCTTGAGTGGAGTAAGAGTTCTTCAGGATCATGACTATCCCAAACTGTTTAACTCCAACATATGTTTGGAGTCAGAAGCATAAGATACTGAGGATGTCAGAAGAATGAAGATAAGTCCCTCAAAGAAAAAACTATAATCAATGTATATAATTTAGAAAAGCAAATAGAGCCTAAACTGAACCAAAGATACATTGTTTTCATTTTAGTAGTATAATTCACTTAAATATATCACTACAGATCCTGCCTATTCTTATATTACAATGCATATAAAAGTGTGGTAATGTTTAAGAATTTTAAGATATTACTGTAATGTTTAAATAAGATTTAAATAAATTATATACTAACTTTTTTTTTCTGTCTCTTAATCTAGAAGTTGTGTGAGCATTTCTTCTGAAGAACCAAAGCAGAAGTTTAAAAAGAATTCTACAGAATGGAATTTCTTCCATGCTATATACACAAATATAAAGGAGCATTCTCCCTCCGACTTTTTAAAGATTTCTTGATCATCATTTTGAAAAGACTATTAAAGCCAGCTAAAGACAACTGACTGGATAACTTTTCTAATAATTCTCGCCAATAGAGAAAAAGAAACGCTCCTTATTCTTCAATACTTTAAAAATGGCTTTTTCCAGTGTGCTCCTTCTTTGCAAATCAATATTTTTCTGCATTCTCTAAAACATGAGAACATTTAACTATAAAAGAAATGGGCTAAGTAGGCATGATTTTTCACACAGATATGTTGGTCTTTAAAAGCTAATGTGTAAAATTGACACAAAAGAAATTTACCTTTTACAATACTTGAAAATAAGTACCTCTATGCTCTAAAAGTAAGTAGGAGAGGTATTTAAATTAAGCCTGTTTCAATATTATTGCAAAGAGCTCTATGTGTAGAGGCAAATTATAGGCAGGTTACCAGGTTCTTGTAAAAGCAACTTGTACATGGACATTCTGCAGACCCAGCTGTCACATTCTTCTTGCATCTCCTTTTGCAAATGCATACTTAGCAGTTTTAAACTGTGAAAGAAAAAATATTTTTTTCAAAGTGAGAAAATAATTTACTGTCCTCTTAAATAATGTATTTATAAAAGTTTTTCCAGATAAACTAATCAAATAAATTAGAACAATGTGACAACATTGCAAGTTTGATTTATCAGATGCATTCCTTGCGTTACCATGCTAGGATTCAGGGCTACTTTTGAAGTCTGTATATTGCTGCTGTCCCCAACGATGCTGGGACATATCTTTGCCTTACCCAGTCACAAATTATGTGGGGGATACAGATGTAATGTTTCTTTAAGTGCAAAAAGAATTTGATTTTGCTCGTTTAAGAGCAACGAAAAAGCAGTGGACTGTTGACTGTGTGATGTGTGAGACGCTGTGCAGGAGACCGTCACAAAAGTCCTCTTCTGCATGGCACCCCCAGTTTTCACTTTCCATTCTTCATCTTTGCTGCAGAGTTTAGCTGTACAAACTTGCACTTTTCTTTGTTAATAGAAATTCAATTTTATTTTACCAATTTAGAGGCTGTTGGTAATTAAATATTGCAAAAGAGGGAACACATGTTTTTATGTGGAATGCTTTTTTAAAAAGGTAAATTTTTACCACTCGAGTGTGTTTTATAGAAACAGGAATTGATTAATCTACTAGATCCCATGAGAGAGCATTTGTTTATTGGACTCCTTTCTTAAAATCCAAGCATATCATCTTTAGTTAACTAATTTTTAAAAAACATTTATTTGGGGCTTCCCATCCCGTTTCTCAGCTGTCCATGTACAAAGTCATTTTTAAAAATCTGTTCAGCAAAGTTTTGTTTAAATTGACTTAACATGAAATACCAAATAAAATGTGTTTGACATAATTTTTCTTTTAGATTTCTCATTCCTTTGTTTGGATGAATTCTTGAATCTCCAAATTTCCCTTAATGACTTTTTTCCTCAATGTCTTTTCCACCTTCCTTTTGTTTTTTGTTTTCATTCACACATCTTTATTTTAGGCACCGTTGTTTACAATACTATTAATGATAGGGTTTCATGCATAGCACATTCCGCTGCTCTCCGTCAGAGGGTCCACCTCCCTCCACCATTGTCCCAGTGTTGTCCACCCCCTCTAACCCCCACCCCTTAGTCTAATCACCCCATCACCCTCATGGTTTTCCTACTGAAATCCAGTTCTCAGTTTCTGTTGCCTTTGGGCATTTGTTATTCCCCTGTTATTTTATATCCCACATCTGAGTGAATTCTATCTGTCCTTCTCCTGACTAACTTTACTCAGCACAATACCCTCCAGCTCCATTCACGAAGCAGCAAATTACATGATTTCATCTTTTCATTAAGCTACCTGATGGTATATCATTGTATATATGAACCATAATTTCTTCAGTCATCTGTTCTTGGACACTTGTTTCTAGATTTTGTTTTTGGTTTTTGGGGGGTTTTTTTTGTTTTTGTTTTTTTTGGTTTTGGTTTTTGGGTCACACCCAGTGATGCACAGGGGCTACTCCTGGCTCATGCACTCAGAATTTACCCCTGGCGGTGCTCAGGGTACCATATGGAATGATGGGAATTGAACCCGGGTCAGCTACATGCAAGGCAAATGCCCTACCCGTTGTACTATTGCTCCAGCCCCACTTGTTCTAGATTTTGGCGATTGTGAGTTGTACTGCAATGAATATAGGAATGTAAATGTCCTTTCTAAATATTTTGGGCCCTTAGGGCAGATACTAGAAGTGGAATTTCCCAGCTTTCTTTTGAACAAGCATATCTGTTGATATAAAATTTAGAATAGTTGTTCTAGTATTACTAGGTTTTCCTTTTTTTGTCTTTTTAAACTTGTGTAATCATTAAGAAATAAAGTACCTTCTGAGTAGTCAGGTTTGAAAGGGTATAATTTTTTTTTCCCCAAGAACAGCAATATCTCAGTCTGGAGCAGACCTTGCATTGATGCCTGGCACCTTGTTTGGTCCTCCAAGCTTGCCAGGTCTGATCTCTGAGCAAAGAGCCAGGAGTAAACCCTGAGCACAACGGGGATGTGCTTCCGTCCTGCACCCAAATAAATAACAGTTCCAGAGGGCGACTTTACAGTGAGTGGATTGCTTTCTGTCCAGCCCTTGAAAGTCAATATTCGCCTGCTTATTCAGAGATATCTTCAGGAGACATCTGAAGAGACATTCTCAGTGATCAGATAAGGTCATCATGGAATGAGGTCAGATTGCCCTTTAGTTTCCTTTCCAGACCATTGGTAGACCAGTGTCATCACAGGTCTGTATGTCTGTACAATATTTGCCAGCCTTTAAAGATAGAGCTTTGCCTCCTCTTCCATAACCTGGAGATATACATATAATAGAAACAAATGTTCAGTCCCCAGCACTGCCAGGTCTTCTGAGCTCTACCAGGAGCAGCATCTTAGCAGCATCAGGTGTAGCCCCAAAACCAAAAGCAAATAATATTTTAATAAAAAGCAATTAAGCAGGGCTGGAGCGATAGCACAGCGGGTAGGGCATTTACCTTGCACGCAGCCAACCCGGGTTTGATTCCCAGCATCCCATATGGTCCCCTGAGCACCGCCAGGAGTAATTCCTGAGTGCAAAGCCAGGAGTAACTCCTGAGCATTGCTGGGTGTGACCCAAAAAGCAAAAAAAAAAAAAAAAAACTTTTATTCAGAGGCAGGGCCTTTGAAAAACTTGGGGAAGTTTTTTCTCTGCTCTGTGCCATAAACACCCGGACTGAAAGATTCCAGTGAAGCCAAAGCTCTGAAGTTCTGAAGAAAGGATCATTAACGTGACTGAATGCTGTGACCCAACCTGAAATGTGCAGGACAGCAGCACTGGTAGTTATGGGACACAGAGCTCTGGACGGTGCTCATTAAAGCATTAGCTTGCAGGATCTGCCATGTTCTTAGACCTTGTTGAATGATTTTTTGTTTGTTTGTTTTTGGGGTTTTTTTTTTTTTTTGGTGTTTTGGATCACACCCAGCAATACTCAAGGGTTACTCTGGCTATGCTGGAGCACCATATGGGATGCCTGGGATCGAACCCAGGTTGGCCGCAAGTAAGAAAAATGCCATACCCACT